CAGACCATACAGACAACCGATATTTTTTTATACTATAATCTCCTGCTGGGTTGATGTTTATTTCATAACAAATTCCTTTACTGTGAAGGGCGTTCGTAAATATCTGCTAAGTAGGACCTACCTGCCTGTTGGATGTGAACCCTGGCTTAGCATCATCGCTTAATACGAACACACCGGGATCTTTAACCTTAATGCCGCGAAAACTTCCAAAGATCTACTACGTGTTATATTACGTGTTACATATACTTCGGATCCATTTTTATATTAGGATTAATGTTTGTCCTCTCGGTTTTTATTGAGCACCGGTTGTGACTCAGTCAGTTTGTGTTGAGGAATGCGGTGTGTATTAAAAATGTCTCATGATTAATAAATCTAAACGAAAAAAAAAAACTATTTGTTACTCTTTATTTATAGATCAAATGATATTTTTTTTTGTTTGTTTTTCTTTTTTAAATTGCAATGTCAAAGGGAATTGTTACTCAGGATTTAATCAAAATGTTGTGGGTTTTTTTTTTCGTTCTCCTCAAAAGCCGTTGTTGAAGTATTGATTGAATTAAAATAATGAGTACCCTGTCGTTTAAACAGGATGACAGCTCAATCGGTAGCAACATCAAACTCTGCCAGTAATACCCCGACCCGATTTAAAGTCGTCGTGGCCTAAGGGATAAGAGGTCCGGTGCATTCGTATCTAGCGATGCACCGGTGTTCGAATCCCAGGCGGGTACCAATTTTTCTAATCAAATACGTGCTCAACAAATGTTCACGATTGACTTCCACGGTGAAGGACTAACATCGTGTAGTAAAACCCAAACCCGCAAAATTATAATTTGCGTAATTACTGGTGGCAAGACCTCTTGTGAGTCCGCGCAGGTAGGTACCAATATTCTGCCTATTTCTGCCGTGAGCTGTTGTGACTATACTGAGACCTTAGGACTTATATCTCAAGGTGGGTGGCGAATTTACGTCGTAGATGTCTATGGGCTCCAGTAACCACTTAACACCAGGTGGGCCGTGAGCTCGTCCACCGAACTAATAAATAAAAAAAAGTTCGCCACTTCAGAGATTGCGACGTACGGTTACTTTGTCATAATAAAAAACTCATATCATGCTCCTAGTCATCTAGTAGTAAAAAAATTCAGCGTAAAAAGCACAGTCAAATGAAACAGTACAATAGCAGTAATATAAAGCGGGTTCTAGGTAAAAGTCACGGTTGGAGGTCGCGTGGCGTCACTAAACCGGTATCGCTACGTACGTAGGTACGCGAATGTCGCCGATGTAGTGTGGGGGTTCGGTTGGGATCCTACAACACACACCGTTCCCGACTCGCTTATATTTGTAGCGGAAAATTTGTATCTTCCTGTTTCAAGGGTATTACTTTATCGAGGTCTGTGACTCTTTTCATGCAGCTCATTGAGTGCTCCTTGACTGTAGCTGACAGCTCTGCTGTGAGATATCTCTATAGTTGTTCCGATATCTTCACTTGGACTCATGTTGTCCTCTGGGCTGTAAGTTAGGATAACCCCTATTCGACAACATTATGCTTATGTTCCTACATGTACAGGGTGTTAAGTTACTGATATCGAAACTCACAATAGAGTAATAGACTTTTTGAATTTAAACGATAAGTCGCGCTTAGCTCTTATTTAAACTAATTTGAATTGCAAAACTCGGAATCTAAGGTATAAGCGCGAAAGGCATCCATCAACTGTTTTCGCTTCGGATTTACGAAACATGAACTTCCTCAGATGGCCAATAGTTATGCTTTATGATTATTATATTATACCTTAATGCCTCTGTAAACGGGTAACTTATGTAACAGAAGATATCGTAGGAACAAGACTGCGTGCAAAAGTATGCTCTCAAATGCACGTAACTTAAAGTTTACACGAGATCTGTGGTCCTGTTAACCAAAGTATTGTAATTGTCCACAGTAAGAATTGTTTAAGACATTGATTACTAGTAGTGAAAACACCGTAAGTCGATAAGATTTATCGTCGTAAGATTTTAATTGTCAAAGTGTTCCTTACAGTAAACAACAGCAGTAATTGCTGCAGTATATAGTAATTATATCTTTAAAAGTACTTATTGAAATAAACTACGTTGCAATATTAAATGGCTTGTTGAGGAAGCTGGTAGAATTTGATTAAAATAATATATTTTAGGATATTGACGCGGTTATGAACCGAGTCGACATTTTCATATTTACCTGCATCTACTTAATTAATTATAATGAACTTCCTTCTAATTTTATTTCTGTAGATAGACGAGCTAAGTATATACATACACACATATGCCTATAGACATCACCAATCTCGATTACATTGGTAAAACATTGGCTTACTCTGCGTATTGCCTGTCAGTTATTCAGTTCCTACTGCCATAATCTAGATTATGTAAGTCACGTTTGTAGATAAGACTAGCTCTTCTAACATATGCCTGCCCGTAATAAGTTAATACACGAAAACGTATATTTCTCTATTGCTGACTACACCATAAGCAACTTTCACCGTCGCTTGAAACCCCCTGTAAAGAGTTAATAGAAACTACAGACTTCCACCATAGCAATATGATGTTACGTCACTCGTGAAAATTAGAATCGACGCCGTTCGACCAGACGAGCCAGGGAAACGGAAATTGCGCCGGTTTCGCTATAGTCTATGTTCAGATTACGTTGAGATTGATTAGTAATTAGTTTATGAGGGTTTTCCGATTAAATTGCAGATTTGGCTTGTTGACTGTTGGTATATTTGCTGGTGATTTATGAGCTATGGTCCTTATTTCGTAAATTAGGTTTTTTAGTTTTTGTTTGAATATAAATCATTTTTACTAATTTAATTTAGATAAACATGCACATACAAGGAAATGAGATCGATACCTGAGGTAAGTTCGGCCAGCGTGGCATTGGAGCCCAGAGATTTTAGGCGTACCCTGATGTATCAGCCCTGACTATCTGTTAAAACCGGATCTTACAATTTAACTGGAAAATACGATTACTTTGATACAGGTCATTATGTGGTCGGAGAAGATCTATAACGTAAATACAGCCACATGTACGGAGCCATAGGAGTCATTTCCATCACAGCAACGTAATATGAAGATTCAAAACTATTACGGCTAACATAATTATAACTACTGTCATAAAATGACGGTGAAAGTGGTAATAGATCGAGGAGACTGATGTCATTCAAGTTATTGCTCCAGTACCAGTACCGGACGGACGATTTTAATGCTGGCCAGTAAACTATAACACGAACAAAGCGATGTTATAGCTGATTGCTAGGTCGATACGATTATACCGGGCGTCAGTATTCCTTTAGGCCGCGTAGTCAATCCTCAATACGATAATAATATGTTAAGTACATACGGCTTCGGAAGAATGAAATCGCCAAAAGAAATACAACTACATAGATTAATCATAATGTAAAGTTCAGAGTTCGCCGGAGACGTTTGCCGTGGATATGTGAAGGATAAGTTGTGTAGAAAACAGTCTGTATTAGATCGTACATTGCATGCTCGCACCTGTTCGACAAGGCCCCAACGAGCGCCCGAAGGAAGCCCGCACGCACATTGTGTTGAAAACAGACGCGGTTGCGGCCCGCAGTAGTAAGTGGTCGCCATCATGCATGGTCACCAACAAAGCTAGAAACATAAAACACAAGTTTTGACTTCTTTCATTTGACTCTAAAAGTCGTCGTGGCCTAATAGATAAGACGTCTGGTGCTTATGTGTTGAGGCGATGCACCGATGTTCGAATCTCAGGCGGGTACCAATTTTTCTAATGAAATATGTACCCAACAATTGTTAACGATTGACTTCCACGGTGAAGGAATAACATCGTGTAATAAAAATCAAACCCGCAAAATTTTAATTTGCATAAATACTGGTGGTAGGGCCTCTTGTGAGTCCGCACGGGTAGGTACCACCACCCCGCCTATTTCTACCGTGAAGCAATAATGCGTTTCGGTTTGAAGGGCAGGGCAGCCGTTATAACTATACTGAGACCTTAGAACTTATATCTCAAGGTGAGTGGCGCATTTACGTTGTAGATATCTATGGGCTCCAGTAACCACTTAACATCAGGTGGGGTGTGAGCTCGTCCACTCATCTAAGCAACAAAAAAAAAACACAGAAGAGGGCCGTTTGGGTTGTCTATAATCCCATTCTCTGGTATCGTTTGGAACCTCTGGGTTGTGGAGGGACTTCAGTTTTGTCTGTATTTTGTACGGTATGTTCCACGGGGAGTGCTCTGAGAAATTGTCTGAGATGATCCCATCATCTCGATTTTACCATTGCACTGCCCGCCACCGGAGTTGATTTTATCCATACTACCTGGAGCCCTGGAGCCACTGCGTTCATCCACAGTGCGTTTCCACAAATCTTTTCTGCCACGTACCATTCGGCTTTGGAATGAGCTCCTCTCCACGGTGCTTTCCGAGCACTATAACATGTCCTACTTCAAACGAGGCTTGTGGAGCGTACTTAACGGTAGGCAGCGCCTTGGCTCGGCCCCTGATATTGCTGAAGTCCATGGGTGACGGTAACCACTCATCATCAGGTGGACCGTATGCCCGTCTGCTTGCAGGGGCAATAAAAAAAACTTGGTTGGACATAGGAACCTGTGTGCTTAGTGCGAGTTTTTTAACGTTCTCGATTGGGTAAAAGCTCTCTATAAGTTTAGTTAATCGTCAGTCATATACGGACAAACAGAAAGAATTGAATAATTTAAAAATCTTTTTCGGCATTTCACTACCATATAAATATTACTTTAAAAAATCACAATAGCATTATTCTTATTTCTGTCACATTAGCGTTTTGGACAAAATTCTTAATCATAATAAAACACAATGAAGCTCGAACAAAAGAAAACGCCCACGTTAATATACAATGAAATTGACATTTACGACACAAAAAAATGTCTTAGGTTCCCGCGACATTCAGGTGAATTGTGTTGTGAACTCTGGCAACATCGCATCGACCGCAGTCGGGCCGGCTCTGCGGGGGGAAGTGCTCTTGAATTAAGATTGCTGTTGGATATTTTGCCATAATTAAATTAGAAATACCTCTTGTTGAATTAAAACATTTTTAAAATATGTGTAGCGAAAAAAGCAGTTTTCTATGATTATTTATTCAATAATCTTAAAGTGGGTTCGCGACTTATGTTACATTGAAAAAATATTTCTATTTTTGTTTTGCATGTAGCTACTTATTTTGTTTTTCGTTTCGTAAATGAACTGGAGTTCTTAACCTTTTTGTTTATTTTTTTAAGTGCAATTCAGTGTAGCGTGAAGATTTTTCGTTGTCAAAAGATTGAGAAATATTGTTAACTTTCTAAACGTCTAAAACTGTGCCAGTGCAATAGTTTGTGGATCTGTTTCGTTTCCGAGTGGTGTGGTATCGTTGTGCCAAAAACAATTTACACACAATTGTTTATATTCTGTAGTAGTGAACGACATTTTCAAGAAAAATAACTAGAAATCAAGTGCACACTGCAGACCTGCATATCATTTTTGAAAAAAGAGTTTTTTATCTTTTTTTATTAAATGATAATTTGGCTAAGGTATCTCATGTACACACAACACAAGACATCAGATGTTAGTGCTTCGCAACTTAAAAAAGCATCAACATCATGAGAAGAGTCTTCGGGGTCTGCTCAGATGGGTGGCTGCTCTGTGGACAGAATGTGAGGAGCTAGTGTTACGAGGCTGTCTCTAGATGTTGTCTGTATGTTGTTTGTTTTCTTTACCTACCTATTTTATTTTATTAATTTTTCCCTACCTTGTTTTTTCACTAATTTTGACAAAGCATTTTGACATTGAGAAGTAAAATATTCAAAAAATCTGAACACATTGCCTTATTAAAATAAAGACTGTTATTATAAAATTATAAGGACCAAAAATATTAAAATACCTTTTAAACTATTAGTATCAAAATATCAAACAACGAAATCATTAGTTTTAGGTTTGTGCACTGAACCCAATAATAAAAAATGGTTGGTTTGAGTAAGTATAAAATGCATAAGTTTAATGCTGTAATCATAATGTATGTCAAAAGATATTAGAAACTGCATGCATCTGTGAAGTAAAAAAAAATTACCATTTTAATTTTGCATGTTTTTGTGTGCATGTTTCATATGTTGTAGATTAAAAAGATTGTGTGTTTGATATCCATGATACTGAAGGAAATACATAATTTGAAACGTTTGCAGCTTTTTGTAGTCACACAAAACTGAAATGTTCATTATTTGTATACCTATATGAATAACATAAAAATGAAGATCTTCCACCAGATCTCTGTTCTGTAGACTGTTTTTTCCTGTTTAAGGTTTTAGCCAGATATCTTTGATCCACAGAAAGGCACAGGTTAACAGTAAAGAAAACAGTACTTATTGTGAGCAGTTTTTTTATCTAACTGTAAATATTGGCATGTAAGTGAGAGAATCTCGTCATTTCTAATTTGTAGAGTAAACGTAAACTGACCGAGTAACACTAGAATGTTATGTGAGATTTTCTTTCTCATAACATAGTGTCAGTAGATGTCTCGCTGGTGGGAGCAAAGCCTTTACCAAAGCTTATAGATATATATCTATATATTAATACATGAAAACTTTTTACGAAAATTGCACAGACTGAGGAGTATGAAATTTCCCACACTTATAGAGAATATAGAAAAGGAGTGCAAAATGTAATTATTTTTTTAGGAAAAAATTAATTAAATCAAAAAAAAACATCACACACACTACCATATACAAGGGCGGGATGATAAGTAACTAGCCTAACAATAAAACACTTAACTTTTCGTGATAAAATTAATTTTATTTTTCGACATAGTCTCCGTGAACCTCTACGCACTTATTCCATCTTCGTTCTAAAGCAGTAATGCCTTCCATAAAATGATTTCTTTCGAAGCCTGCAAAATACTCCTCTACAGCGGCTATGACTTCATCATTTGTGGTAAATTTCTGTCCGCCCAAAAAAGTTTTGAGCTTAAGGAATAAATGTAAGTCTGATGGCGCTATATCAGGCGAATAAGGTGGGTGGGACAGCAAATCATACTTCAATTCGTTGATTTTTGCCATAGGTTTAATACATGTGTGAACCCTAGCGTTGTCTTGGCGGAAGATGATTTTTGTTTCGCCAAATCTGGTCGTTTTTGCTGAATACACTGATGAAAATTATCTAGAAGATTAGCGTAGTATTCTCCATTAATCGTTTGACCTTTAGGAAGGTAATCTATCATCAAGATCCCATCTGCATCCCAAAAGACGAAAGCCATCACTTTTCCAGCCGACTTTACAGCCATGGCTTTTCTGGAGCCGGGCATCGCGATTGCGTCCACTGTTTTGATTGAATTTTTGATTCTGGCATGTAATAACGAACCCGTGTTTCATCTGTTGTTACAAATCGACGTAAAAAATCGGCATTATTACTCTGAAACGGTCCAGTCATTCTTTTGACTTTTGCACCCGAATCTTCTTTTGATCGTGCATAAGCAATCGCGGCACCCAACGGGCCGATGACTTTTTCATATTTAATTCCTCACTTAGGATATGATGTACCCGGTCTTTTGAGATACCTGTAGTATCAGCTGTATCAGATAACTTCAATCGTCGATCTGTTAAAACCATATCATTTACTTTCACGACCATTTCCGGAGTCGTGACGCTTTTTGGACGTCCGGGGCGGGCTTCATCTTGGACACATGTACGACTGCGTTTAAGCTCAGCCACCCAGTTTTTTACTATGGCATAAGAAGGAGCACATTCACCCTAAGCATTATTTAACTCGACATAGATATCTTTCCCATTCATGCCTTTCATATGAAGAAACTTTATCACCGCTCTTTGTTCGATTTTATCCATTTTGAAAAAACTTGACGAAATATATTTTCAAATGACAAAAAATCAATAAAATTTTCACGCTACCAAATTCAAATAGAGAACACAGGTAGCCAGAGATACGAATTTAAAAATGACATATATATTTTTTTAAGTTTAACTTTTTAAATAGTAGAGGCTAGTTACTTATCATCCCGCCCTCGTATTTGACATCTTTAATATTACTTATTTATAGTGTAGTCTTGGCGAAATCTGTCATTAAAGAAGTATTTGACAATAGAACCATAATAATGTTTAAACTTATAATATCAATTAATTATAGTCGAATTTTGTCTACTGGCGGACCACTACTCATTGAAGACATCTTGTCTGCTTGTATAATTGGATATCACCATACAATATTGTGGAGCAATTGTTGCATTTAAGTTTGTATGGTAGTACAGTCATTATGCAATAGAGTGGAGACTGAGATTGAGAGACGGTATTATCTAAACTAGACCACTATTACGTAAGATCCTGACCATTTTCATATTGGTATACACGGTGGAACCAGCTGTGCGTGCCGTCCAAACGAAGCGGCCGGCTCCACGACTAGCGTCTATTAATAAAATTACAATAAAACGTTCATCATCCATTTTAAATCGGTCTCCTTCGAATCCAAATTCGAAATCGCGATCCCGTGATTGAAAAACTCTATTGATGCCGCAAAGCCGTACCGTCCGTTGTAATTAAGAATAGTGTCGCCATCACACTATCAATTATTGACTCGTAATTATTAACAACCAAAATTTGATTGTTCATAAACGTCTATCGCGGATGTGGCGCTACTGATAGCGGGTAGCGGTCGCTTGTGGTTTAATGTGAATAGCGACGAATATATTATTGAGTGAGCGGTGTTCTTATGAATCATTAAATTAACTAACCAAAGTGAAACATTTACCTGTTTAATTAAGAATGTCAATTATGTTTTTAGATTAAAATGAAAACAACGCTTTTAGCTGATGGTAGGACCTCTTGTGAGTCCGCACGGGTAGGTACCGCCACCTTTTTCTGCCGTGAAGCAGTAATGCGTTTCGATTTGAAGGGTGGAGCAGCCGCTGTAACTATACTTGAGACCTTAGAGCTTATATCTCAAGGTGGGTGGCACATTTACGTTGTAAATATCTATGGGCTCCAGTAACCGCTTAACACCAAGTGGGCTGTGAGCTCGTCCACCCATTTAACCAATAAAAAAAAGCCGTGTTCTTATTTCGATATAATTGTTATCTCGATCTCACACCGCAACATTAACATCATTTATGTTATGGATTCTCGCAGCGTAACATACATAATAATATGTAATAATATGTCGTGAACTCATCTCTCATACCTACAAGCTAATAAAAAACTCCAAATTTTCTGTTTTGACCCCATGGTATCTATCACAATAGTTGTATTTCAGACATGTTTTTGCTGTGCAGCCTAACTAGAGGTCCATCTAGTTCTATGCGACTATCGGACATAGAGGTCGCCCATGGACATCACGTGATGATCGTCCGCCAATTTGGCGCGAGACGACCACTTTCTGCCCATAAAAAGCAACAAGCGATCTCAACTGTCATATGTATTGTTTCATTCGGCGAAATTTCCAATACTTACTTGAACCTAAACTTCATAAAAATATGTTGTATTTTTTATTATTAACCGCTACCCGCTACACGCTCAGCTACACGCTCGCCTTATAACCGAGCATTTAGTTCGTGAATCGTAGAAAGAACGCAATTAACCTATATATTTTTTTTCTCAACATGTAGATTTATTAGTACATAAAATGTTATGCAGCTTATACAGAGATGTTTGTAATGAAAATAACGGTTTTCTAAGAAATACAGAGTGGAATAATCAAGTACCTCGATATAAGTAGAAGTGCAATAAATACTTACTAGTTGTTTTATTAAGTTTATTACTGGTGGTAGGACCTCTTGTGAGTCCGCACGGGCAGGTACCACCACCCCGCTTATTTCTGCCGTGAAGCAGTAATGCGTTTCGGTTTGAAGGGTGGGGCAGCCGTTGTGACTATACTGAGACCTTAGAACTTATATCTCAAGGTGTGTGGCGCATTTACGTTGTAGATGTCTATGGGCTTCAGTAACCACTTAACACCAGGTGGACTGTGAGCTCGTCCACGTGTCAAAGCAATAAAAAAAAAAATTAAGTAAAAAACATATTTAAAGCCAATGTTCACACATTACACTGGAGCATTGACATTTTGTGTTGAATTGCGTGCGATTCAAGGGGTTTTTTTTATTGCCCATGTAGGCAGACGAGCATACGGCCCACCTGATGGTGAGTGGTTACCGTCGCCCATGGACTTCAGCAATGCCAGAGGCAGAGCCAAGCCGCTGCCTACCGCTTAATACTCTCCACAAGACTCGTTTGAAGAAGGACATGTTATAGCGGTCGGGAAACATCGAAAGTCTTAGAGATTTCTTGCATAGTGTATCACCACTACCAGTAGTACTTTTAATTTGAGTTACCGATGCCTTATTTCTTGTATATTATTTTGTGTGTACTGCATACTTTCGAATGGATAGGAATTTGGGTTTCAGTGTACTTAGTTTGCTTACGTTTGCCGCTAGAGGCGCTGTCCCAACTGCATACAAATTTGAGTTAACTTTTACGCGATCGAGAACGTTAACCCTTTGACTGCAATGTAGGTCACCGGTGCTCTAAACGGCGCACTGAAGTGATTATAAGTCGATTTCTCTCTTCGATCTTCTTACTAAGGCGCCGGAATATCTAGTAGATTCTGGGAAGAATGAATCCGTAAAGGTTTATTTTTCTCCTACCTATACTGATAGCCTTGAGAGGTTTTTTGAGCTTCTCCTTGACGTGTAGCTGATTTCACGGGGCTCTAGCGAGAGCAGTGCTTCGCGGAACCTACCATCGGATCGGAAACGCGACCCACTGAGAAGATCCGGCGAGAAACTCAGTGGGCTCAGTCTATGGGAAAGAGAATGAATCTATTTCTAAGAAATGAAAGACTAAAACGTAGATTGTACGTACAAAGGAAGGTGAAGTTAAGCAATCCAGGCGCTCAGTAACATAAATCGACTTAATTACTTCAGTGCGCCGCGTAGGTCACCGGTGCCCTACGCGGCGTCAAAGGGTTAAAAAACTCGCACTAAGCACACAGGGCATGAGTGTCTGATGCGAGAGCTCGCGGACTTGAGACGGTGTGCGTGTTACGTGCGCAGCGTAATATTGGGAGCAGATTAATTAATGTTTGGTTGTGTTACGCGGTTTGTTATTTATGTAAGAACACGAAAGGCGATTTTACTTAATCTTCTAGCTTGGCGATCCGAAGTGATTCTCCTAAATGAGGTTTTGTTGACACCTCTAGCGTCGCCTCATATGAGAGGCTTGAAGTTTTCAGAAAAGCCTGTCTTTTAATTAACATGAATTTGCCGTGTACTTATTCTGAGGCAGGTAATATTTAAACGCAGGATCAACACATTGAGCTAGGCTAGTGAAAGCCAAAAGCGGATAATTCCCTGTTTGAGTATAGGGTTCTGAGAACTAGAAATTCGGTATTTTAAATTTAAAAAAAAGAAAGCATTGAGAACCTTTCATTTCAACAACGCTGTATTTACAGTCTGTGACCTCAATTATATATTATGTACTCGTGCGTGATGTTTTTGCTAATGATGGCAGACTTTCCTTTCCTTCGGGAATTCTTCTCAAGTCCGTTTTGAAGCGAAGCACGTTAAGACTAGACGTATTTCTGTGTGTATTTCGTCAGTTTAATTAATAAAACATACATTCGAATGTATACGGGTTTTGTTGTTTGATATCGGACAGCGGAATCCAAAAAAAAAAAGTGTGACAAGAACTGATATGTATTCCTTCGAAGCCGACTTGTTATGAACAATAAAGAAACTAAACACGTAATTATGACGTCAGAATATGATATAACGTAATGCAATTGTTGTACACATTTATTTGTTAAAGAAACCTTCGTTATTTAATATATTGGCTACCTGGTGAGGGATATCTTACTGGTGTTAGGGCGTCCTGAGAGCCCGCTCGGGTGGGTACAGTCATCCTGCGCGTTGAATTTACGGGTTAATTTGTAAAGGAGACTTGAATCTCATGTCTGAAGGCGCTTATTCTTGACAATAGTAGCTACTGATAGTATTCATTGTAACCGTACGCGTCGAACTCGGCAAAGAGTTCGAAGTGCAACCTAATCTATACATCAGCCCGCTGAGTTTCTCGCCGGATCTTCTCAGCGGGTCGCGATTCCGATCCGGTAGTAGATTCGTGAAGCAGCTACTCTTCAGCTATCAAGTCTCCATCGGAGGCGCTTGGAAACTGTTAGTAAATCCCACCCTTTGCTCGCCCTGGAAACGCGTTCGGGCAACCATCAAACTGAAAGCTGTCAATTGATTTCCAAACCGGCGAGAGAATTGTACAGATATGTATTTTAACTTTGCCTATTTACTTACGTATAGATTTTTAACCTTATCAAAAAAAAACACTGATTTAGGTTTTAGACACGTTCATCTTTCCTAGTACATCAACTGCCAGGTGTATAATGTTTGTAAATTTAAGTATATAATAATTAATTTTGATCATTTTTCGTTTCAGGGCTCGCCCCACGGTTCGGTGATGTCCTGTCAGTCCCTTGCAACCAGGGCCTTTGTGGATTCCGAAAAGGACGCCATGACGCAGTGCGCGACCTTCCACAGGTATGCCCTCCGAGTCAGCGACTGGATGTTGCCGACTGACAGCACACAAGTTACGTCACGTGCGGTTTCGTGAAGGCCTGTATCTGCGACCTTACGAATGATAAATTCTTCCATTCGCGAGGGATATGCTGGTGGTCAAATCTTGAAATACACACCTAACACGTCTGTAATTAAGATGAAAACCACATAGATGTGTAATCGATTGGCGTTCTTACTGTGGGCAGGGGTAGGTGCCACTGCAATGCCAGAGCGGTGGGACAGATGTCTTATGCATTGAGACTCCGTAACTCTTGAGAAGTCCATAGAATTTAGTAACTCTTTTATCCTATGAGACCTTACAAATCGTGATTGGTGGGTAGTATATATAAAAATGGATTTCAAATGTGACCGGCCAAAGAATTAAATGCAATATTATTAAACAATGTTATGCTTAAGTTTAATGGGTAGCCGACGCAACTAGCAACGGGGTATTTCGGAACAGGACACAGCTGACGTAGTGTCGCCAATTACGAAAACCTGGGCGTTCCCAGGGCGACCGTGGGAACTCCCCTACTCTGACCGGATTCTGACCCCGGGCGAACTTGGATGTCGGGTGAGAGAGTGCAAGGGGAGTCATTTCGATGAGCAGGGCCCTAAGACATAATCAAACGGTCTGCTCCCAACATCTGCAGACTGTCAAGTCCTATCTCGTGTGAGGTGTGGCTCTTTTCCCGCAAATAAAAGGCGTTGCAAGCGGTCCGCATGTGTCCCGGACATTTCTGATTTATATGAGCTACGTGGAGCTCTGGCACAAGCTCGCCCGGGCCTCATCCCACGTAGAAGGGAAGTACACGTGATCGACATCATCTGTTCCAGGTCGGTGCGATTCAGTTCAGATTCCCGAAGCTCGACGCGGCACACGGCAGACCTAGAATGCAAGAGAGAAAACTCTGGTAATCAATAATTTCTTTTATCTTTTCTCATGTAAGTAGGCATCATCTTGAATTTATTTTTCTGCCGTTATTCGAAAAGCCACACAGACGACACCACCCGGACACCGTCCTAGAATCAGGATCCTGGCTTGACAGGGAGGCCGTCGTATCAACTCGCACGTTGATCGGCGAGCATTAGTATTAATTCTTTGAAAACCGTGAGAACCTTGGAAACCGAACCGTAATAGTTTTGATAATGAAATATTTTTGCTGTATTGATTTCTGACAGATTGTCCCCGGGTCTGTTGTACGTCACTAAGCTCTTTTTCGCCTCTGTCGCTAGGTTCCACGTCGCTGACGGCGCTGGCCCCGACGCCCGTCTCGCAGGGCAGCATGAGCCAGTCCGCGCCGGCCGCTGCCAACACCTTCGACCTTGAGTCGGTAAGTCTGTGGCGCCGCGGGAGTCGCCTGTCTCTCGCGCCGCGGTACCGACCCTTAGATGTGTGTGCGTTCCAGCCGACGGGCGGGGGCGGCGCCTGCCGGTTCCCGAAGCTGGAGGAGTGCGCGCATTTCCACTACGAGCGGGTCGCGCTGGGCGGCCTGGCGCTGCTGGCGCTGCCGGGCGACGAGCGGGCCGCGGACTCCGGCGACGAAGGTCAGCCCCCACCGCACCGGCTGCAGCGGCGGCGTCGGATCCGGCAGAACGGAACTCATCTGTGTGTCTTGTTGCCAGGATGGATCTGCATACAAGTCCGCTCGCACGTCAGCTCCCCTCAGGAGTCTGAGGGTCGACAGTGGACCCTCATGAGGAACAGGGACAACTTGCTACAGTTAGACGACTTACTGCACAGGTAAGTTGCAGCCGACCGGCGCGAGGCTACAGCGTGCAGGAGGCGGGAGGGGAATACCTCAGTTGTCATTAAGGAGACAGCTGAGTTGGTGCTGGTTAAAAATCACCCTTCGAAACAGGGTTCTACTGACGCGCCAGGTCAAAGTCTCTTGCGTGGCGTATGAGCTGTACATATTGTCGCTTTACTAAATATAAAAGTATTATGCCGCCCGCGCCCCCCCTGTCGCCAGGTGCATCTACGACCGCAAAGTGTCCGGGCTGCCCAACCTGACGGAAAAGCTGTCGGGCCCGCTGCCCCCGGAGGAGGAATACCATCGGCTGATAGCTGACTACCTGCACCACCTGTCCATCATAGCCGACGACTCCATCAACTGCGGGCCCGTGCTTTACTGGATGCAGATGGACAATAAGGGTGTGTTAGAAAAACCTTAGGTTTAACAAAAATAGCATAACATACGATTACTCGCGTTCTTCACCACGAGTCTGAGCCCGGCATAGCGCAGAGGTCCTGCCGGGCCAGGGGGCCGCCACACCGACCCACAACCTACGACATGAATTAAGAAAAATTTTGGAACAAAATTAATATCTGTTATTAAATTAACAAGAAGCGTTGCTCTTGCTGATGAATAGTGTTTCATGATGCGCTTGTGACATTAGTATCGCTCGTCCCCCAGGTCAGCGGCTGCTGGTCGCCAACGAGGACTCTAGCTCCATCAACACCCCGGCCGTGGCCGCCGCCTACTCCGTCAGGAAGTACGTTTCGCAGGTACGCCCCCCTCGCACGCGGTCCCCCGCGCCCCTCCCCTCGCGGCGGGCTCGTCCGCCCTGCTTAATTAGTAAAACAAACAAGATAGAACATGTACGAGGTGCAGGGATGAAGTGAGAGTGTAGACACCAACGCAGATTTTACTTGTTCCAGGCTCGAGATGAAATCAGCTTTGAAGTTGGCGACATGATATCCATCATCGACATGCCAGGTGATCATCCCACTCTTACTCTTAGTGCTACGGAAGGACTCATGCTCTAGTTACTCCTGCTGCGGAGTGGTTACCGGAAAGACCAGATTGCGAGGGTGGTGACTGTCGGAGCAGTGGCTCCCTTACACTCGCATCATAGTGTGTGACGGCAAAATCAAGATTGTGCTAAATAGTATTCTCATTTTTTCCCTGTCAACTAAAAATGAAAAAATTATGAAATTACCTGTAATATCTGTAGTTATGCATAGTCGGTGCGTCGCTGTCCCAGGTCCGCAGGAATCGGTGTGGTGGCGCGGGAAGCGCGGGTTCCGGGTCGGCTTCTTCCCGCGCGCCTGCGTCGCTGTCATCGGGGACAAGGTGCCGCGCCACATGACGCAGCCGCCCCCCATCGTTGGGTATGTAGCGCCACGGGAGGGAGGGAGGGGGACCGCCCCCGCCCTCCCGCCACAATGTAACGTGTCCGTCCCCAGCTCGGTTGCTATGGCGCCCATCAAGCCGGTACTCCGAAAGCACGGGAAGCTCATATCGCTTTTCCGGAGCTTCATACTGTCCCGACCCTCGCGCCGCAGCCTCAAGCAGCAAGGCATCCTGAAGGAGCGGGTGTTCGGCTGCGACCTCGGGGAGCACCTGCTGAACTGCGGACACGACGGTGAGTGTGCCGCGCCGCAGCCGCCGCCGCGATAAGCGCTCGGCCGCCACCACAGCGCGCCTCGTGTTGCAGTGCCCGTGGTGCTGGTGGAGTGCGCCGAGGCCATCGAGAGCGCAGGTGCAGTGGACGGCGTGTACCGGCTGTCGGGCGGCGCCGGCCTCACGCAGCGCCTGCGGGACGCCTTCGACGCGGGCCGGCCCCCCGACCTGCGCCCCGCCGCCGCCACCGACCCCCACGCCGTGCCCAGCCTGCTCAAGATGTACTTCAGGTACGCCCCACTAGTGACAACACACTGCTGCACTATCGATACTTTGAATAACAAGAGTCGCCGTGGTCCCCGGTCCCATAGTGACCGCTACCGAACAAACTGACTCACTGGCATCACGACGTGAGGTCGACTCACCACATTTACACGCGAGGTCGAAGTCTCCTGTTCCATCATCAAACCGGAACGCATTACTGCTCCGCGACAGAAATAAGCAGGATTTCGGAGTCTCCGTGCGAGCGCACCTTCCCCCCCCTTACCAGTATATGTGAGATGATCAATAAAATAGTTAAAGCTTAAACATGACGGTAGTCAGTTCACTACTCTCTGAAGTAATCTCCCCTGCAGACCCCCTGATCCGCGGCTTGCCCTACAGGGAACTGCCCAACCCGCTGTGCACGTACCAGCTGTACGAGAGCTTCGTGCGCGCCGTGCAGCAGCCGGACGAGGCGAGCAGGCTGGCCGCCGTGCGCGACACCGTGGTCAAGCTGCCGCCGCCGCACTTCCGGTGAGCGCCCGCCTCCCCTCGCTGCGCTGTGAGGAGTGGGGGCGGGTCGTGACGTCAGCGGCGCCCTGTTGCAGGACCATGGCGTACCTCATGCGGCACCTGCGGCGCGTGTCGCTGCAGAGCGCCAGCACCGGCATGACGGCGCGCAACGTGGCCATCGTGTGGGCGCCCAACCTGCTCCGAGCGCCGCGCCCGCAGCACGCGCTGCACGGAGTCGCCGTGCAGGTACGGGCCTCAACTCTCTCCCTCCCTATCGCTCTCTTTCAGAAATACATTCGGAGCAGCTCAGTGTGCTTAGTGCGAGTTTTTTAACGTTCTGCATCCCATTCCATACAAATATGAGCTAACTTTTACGCTATCGAGAACGTTAAAAAACTTGTACTAAGCACACAGACCTCGAAACTGGACCGTTGACTCTCTTGCCTCACATTATAATTATAGAAATAGCTCCATAACTAGCCCAGTAAAGTGGTTACGAATCTACGTCACGAACCGGCCGGTCCCCGGACACACGTGTGGGTCATAGTCGCCGTAACACATAACATAACGCCCCCCACCCCCCGCAGGCCGTGGTCACTGAGTTCCTGATCTGCTACGCGGAGGAGCTGTTCGCGCGGGAGCAGGGAGCCGCCCCCCCCAGCCCGGAGCAGGTACGGATCTGAAATATTGACTTTTGTTTTCTCTAAATATCAAAAAGTTTATCTTATTTAACTAGTCTGAGTACGGTGAGTAAAAATTAACTGTGTATTAACTGTTGATTGATGTCAGTTTCCCTTGCGCAGACACCAGAGCCGGAGCCAGCGATCGAGTTCAGGGGGATGGAGCCGGTCCGAAGGCCCAAGAGTCTGCCTGTCACGCAGCACACCAAACTGCTGAGGTTCGTGTCGGGGTCGGACCCTCATGCCACCGCGTGCGCCGCACGTGTGTGACTATGAATTTGAACTGTTAAACTTACTGTCCGCAGCTTGGAGGAAGCACGTCGCCGCGGCCGTCCCCCCGCGCCCCACTCCGCACCCCCCGTGCCACCCGCCGACCCCACTCCCGTTCTGCGGCCGCAAGGGGACGTTAAGCCCAAGTATATCGAGGTCAGTACTAGGGTCGCGCCCCCGGTGTTAAGTGTGTGACGTCACGCGTGCTCCAGGAGTGCAGTTGTTTTAAAATGGTTTTATTGCATTAGGTCGGCTCCGGACCCAACAACCTGCCGCAGTACCACACCGTGCTGGAGCTACCCGCCACGGGTGAGTGCTCCCTACACGTCGACTTTGAGACTTGAGGTCGCGTTGTATCTCCCGACGTGATGGTGACCGCGGTGTTGGCTTGCAGGCAGGAAGCGCGGCGTGAAGCGGTCCCCGTCCGGCTGGCGCGGCATCTTCACCCGGAACAAGCAGCGGCCGGCGGACACCCCCACCCTCGCCATGGAGGTGCACACCCCTAGTTCATTATTGTCACTCGCATTACTTTTTAATAATAATTCAAATGAAATGAATGATTTTTGAAGTGAAAACTTCTTTAGAATCGTTGTGATTTCAAACCGGATGCAACGGAAAAAACGACAGGTAAGAGACACAAATACAAAAATGTGTAGGATGAAGCCAGCAAAGAATGAGACAGAAATATACATACTATTTAAATACGGCGCCATCTGTAAGATTTTTTAATACTAACGTGTGTATGAAAGCTCTTGTAGTGAATTTTAATTTAGGATTATACGTGAAATTAAAATATCAATTCACAGAGGGCGCTACCTTACAATTATTTACTAATGACAAAATTTTACATATACTTAAGACGTTTAGGATAATTGTATTTTAATTTTGGAANTGTATGAAAGCTCTTGTAGTGAATTTTAATTTAGGATTATACGTGAAATTAAAATATCAATTCACAGAGGGCGCTACCTTACAATTATTTACTAATGACAAAATTTTACATATACTTAAGACGTTTAGGATAATTGTATTTTAATTTTGGAAGGTTTCACTTCTACCACGTGTGAATTGCACACATGTATTTTTTTATTCCATTAAATGAGATAATTCGTGTTGTTGTTTTGGACCTCAAGTTCGTCACAAAGCGAATGTCGCCGCTCACCGTGAGACATGAGGTCGAAGTTTCAATAGTATTGTGTACCGACCGGCCTACCTTTGGAACCGGCAAGATCCATCCTCCCGAGCGACCCCCCTCATGTAACTGTCAACATCTGCCCTTGAAATGTACTAAAGCAGTATGTGGTTGTGTCCCAGGAGAGCAGTGCCATCAAGTCGTGCGAGTCGCTCTCGGACGGCGAACCGGCGGCGCCCGGGGACCGCCCCGCGACCCCCGCCCCCCGGCAGCACGCGCGGTACGGACGCGAGCCGGACACGTATGTATGTGTGGTCCCCCTCCCCCGCTCACCGTGTGCGTGTGCTCGCAGCTCGTCGTCGTGCGACTCGTACTTCGAGCCGTGGCAGGCCGAGCTGGCGGGCATGCGGCTCCGCCTGTGCGCCCAGGAGCGGGACCAGCACATCTTCAGCGAGGAGGACGACACCGCGGTCAGGCAGCAGGTGCGCGCGCCTTGCTCTAGTCTAGGGAGGAGGGGGGTCTGTTACGGTCACTGTGACGAGCGATACGGTCACCCAATAGTGAGTGATTGCCGGTGCCCGTGGACATCAGCAACGCCCGGGGTGCGCCGCCGTCCGGTATCTGCGTATTAGTTTTATATAACACAAACAGTATCCCAGTAAACCGGTGAGTTATGTTGGTCGGCGCGCGGGGTGTGTGGCGATTTCATATAAAGAAAATAATCTTTATTACAAACTCAACGAACGTTTTAATGATTTCACGCCAACATGCCGTGTCTGTATTGTTTGTTGATGTCCGCCGGCACGCCGTACCCGGTGGCCCCCAGCCGACGTTACTGGACACTCTAGTGTGCGTTCTAGGAGGAGTCCGCGAGCTCGAGCCCGCCGGAGTCCGGCCTGTCCAGCGTCGAGCCCAGCCCGCGGCGGAGTCTCCGAGTGGACATCAAGGCTGCCAACGAGTACGCCAACAAGTATGTGCGGGGAACACGCGGTACCGCTCGGCTGACGCTGTGGACGGCGGATCTACGGGAGCTCCAAGTGCCGGAGTGGCCAGGTGTTGCGCAGCGCCCGGATGAATGGTGGGGCTTATTATCGGAAGTCAAGACCCACTTCTATGCTCTGGGGGCTATAGCGCTAATGCAGCAATATAGCAGTAATATACTTACTAAACAATTCCACACTACACGCAATGTACTATACAATCAGCTGTCGTACGGGGTCAACGCCCTCGCAGCCCGCGTGCTGCATACATTGCGCGGTCACAGTAACTTTACTTAGCTACTGAAGAAGTTCGGGGCTCGTGCTCGTCTACAGATAAAGGACGAGCCGCGCCACCTGCGGGCCCGGGCGAAACAACAAAAGTCGATTTTTAATTTTATTTTACGAAACACGTGGTCCCCGCTGCAACCATGGCGCGCCTTACAGGTCCGACTCCGCGGAGCACCTGCAGTACATAGACGCGGAGTCGCCCAGACGAGCCCCCCCGGAGAAGCGCCTGCACCAGAACACGCACGACCAAGTCAAAAGGTGAGCCCCTGCAGCCCCCCTGCACTAATGTGCACTATATATTGTCCGTCCATGCCTCATTTATCATACTAAATGACGAACCGCGCTTTGCTCGGGTTTTTTTTTTTATAACGTTATCTTCTTGTGTCTTTAAAGCAGTAAAAATAGTATTATTATTCGCCAATAGATGTCGGGAAGAGTCATAAAGTTGATTATTGAAAACACGAATAAAACAACATTTTCTGAAAATAAATCGTAGCTAGATCGATTTATCGCCCCCGAAATCCCCGGTATACCAAATTTTATCAAAATCGTTGGAGCTGTTTCCGAGATTCAGATTATATATATATAAACGAGCAATTCTTGTATATATATATATATATATATATATATATATATATATATATATATACAAGAATTGCTCGTTTAAAGGTATAAGATATAGTTCGAGTGGTGCGACAGGGGGCGCGCGAGTACTGTGACACCATAGTAGTTTTTTTTATTATTTTTTTATTGCTTTGATGGTTGGACGAGCTCACAGCCCACCTGGTGTTAAGTGGTTACTGGAGCCCATAGACATCTACAACGTAAATGCGCCACCCACCTTGAGATATAAGTTCTAAGGGTCTCAGTATAGTTACAACGGCTGCCCCACCCTTCAAACCGAAACGTATTACTGCTTCACGGCAGAAATAGGCAGGGTGGTGGTACCTATCCGCGCGGACTCACAAGAGGTCCTACCACTAGTAATTACGCAAATTACAATTTTGCGCGTTTGATTTTTATTACACGATGTTATTCCTTCACCGTGGAAGTCAATCGTGAACGTTTGTTGAGTACGTATTTCATTAGAAAAATTGGTACCCGCCTGAGATTCGAACACCGGTGCATCGTTTCAACACGAATGCACCGGATGTCTTATCGCTTAGGCCACGACGACATAAATAGGCCACGTCGACATCTTAGGCCACGACGATTTAGTATCCTATTATAAAAACGAAACAAAAGTGTTTTCGTATATTGACGATATTCACTAAAACATATTGAGTACTGTGACCTCTATATACATGATACGCGCCCGTCCGCAGAGTGTGCAGGGACCGCGCCGACCCACGCGACCCCCGCAACGAGCTGCCGGAAGATCCCCCGCGCAACCCCCCTCCCTGCATCCCAGACGAACCCCCGCGTGCGCCCACCGCCGCGCCGCCTGCCGCCGCGCCGCCCGCCTCCGCGGTGAAGCTGAGGTAAGTGTGCTAGCCGTGTGCACGTAGTGGCATCGTTGGGCATTGCCGTGTTTCTTTTAAGACTTTTCTAGCAAAACTAACAAATCTATTAATAATTTTGTGCGAGATAAACGTGTCGAGCCCCTATCGCCCTCCCCCGTGCAGTGCGCACCGCCGCCCCCGGAGCGCTCGGACGCCATAATGCTACCTGTTTACTTACGTGTTCGCGAGTGTCAGGGGGCCCGGGGGATATTCAACTGATTATACTCAATGTCATGTCGGTGGATATTAACCGGGTGCCGCAGCTCCGCGGACTGTGCTGTGAATACGGTTTCGGCCCCCGGGCGGGGGGAGACGGGTTGGGGGGTTTGTACTATAATATTTGTATTGTTCGTTGTTTTCGTTTCGTTCGCATTTTAATCGTATTTTATTTTGAAGTTTTTGGTTATGTCTAAAAAATTAGAATTTCAATCGATTATGAGTTTATATAAAATAATTTCTTTTGTATTCGTATTGTGTTTTATTTGTATTCAAAAATTTTTGTATTTATTTTACATTTTATAATAAAATACTATAAAATGTTAGCGACTTTACATAATATATATACATATTGTGAGCACTGAGTTAGTCTACTAGTTAATGTAGGAGTAGCACGTGCCCGGGGGGCTAACCTCTCGGACGAGGCGCCCCTCGCGTCCCCGGCCTGTGGGGGGTCGCTGTCCGGGGACGAAATACAAAACCGCTTACNTTTTGTATTTATTTTACATTTTATAATAAAATACTATAAAATGTTAGCGACTTTACATAATATATATACATATTGTGAGCACTGAGTTAGTCTACTAGTTAATGTAGGAGTAGCACGTGCCCGGGGGGCTAACCTCTCGGACGAGGCGCCCCTCGCGTCCCCGGCCTGTGGGGGGTCGCTGTCCGGGGACGAAATACAAAACCGCTTACTAATAAAAAAAACTACTGAAGCGTTCCGTTTAATATGAACGGAGAAAATATTATTTTGTACAGTGACGTCATTGTACGAGTAACTGTGGTAAATTCTTGTTTTTCAAAGTTAAATTGCTCATAGCTTTCTTGTGTACATTTTTAATGCATGCGTTTTAAGGCATAATGAAATCTAATCAGATCACGGATAGCTGTTAGTTCTGATGTGACGCCGGAGTACCAGAGGATACTCCTAACCTAAACGTTATCCGCTCAGTACAGAGTCATTGTCCGACACTTACAAACAGACAGTGACGTCATCACAGTGACGTCTCAAACTGACCGTCCTTAAAAGTTTTAGTGTTCCTTGAACCGGTACAGACTGACAAGTTTGTACGTGAGTGACGTCACTGTCTGGCCGCACGCTCAGCACTAACTCTAACCTTTGCAGAGAGCGGAGCTCGCCCCGGAGGATGAGGAATGGCAGGTACAGCGGGGTGCACCACTGCTCTGACGACAGGAACGTCACCATCAACCGCCTCAGCTGGCACGGGAAGGACGGACATTCGACCCTCATTAAAATCGACTGGCCCATCGAGAATATATCTGTTGGCAACCTCACGACCAGCACCCTCAACTCCAGCCCTCTCACCCCGACCACCCCCCTGTACGGCCCGCTGGAGAGCGACTCCGAGCACTCGGACTCCAACAAGCGCACCATCAGGGTCAGTGACGGCGCCTGCGAGGGGTGCGTTGACGAGAAATGCCTCAAGTGTGAGCTGCGCGGCGCCGAGCGCGGGCGGACCCACGCCAAGGTCATGACCTCCTCGCACGAGAGCTCCTCCAGCTACTCCAACAGCCTCCAGCAGGACGAGCTGTACGAGTGCTGCACACGGCCCGACTACATTAACCTACAGTCTTCCAGCACCAGTAAGAGCTCGCCGGGCTCTCCCCTGAAGAGTCCTTTAAAATCAACAATCAGCATCACGTTCAGATCCCCCACCAGAGACAGCGACGGAGCTGAAGGCGCCTCAAGCGATAGCAGAGACTCGGTGTACGAAGACATCGATCTCGAGAAGAACCTGTCCATAGTGGAGGACGCGCCCGTGCCGCAGAAGGACGCCAGCCTGCCCACGCAGCAGGCCTGCCAGCCCCAGGACTTCGTTCAGGACTTGATCATCTTAGAGACGCCGCTAGAGACACACTTCGACGCCGACCTGTACAGCCAGGTTAAGTTCTTCAAACAGAGCATCGAGGAGGTGAATGCGCTGGTGTCGGACGCGCCCGCCGCGGACCGGCACTACGAGAACGTGCGCTTCCAACCCGCCACCAACGACTACGAGAACATCAACGTGCGCGATGCGGTCGACAGCAGGCTGGGGACCGACGAGGGGGACGCGGACCTCGCCCCCCATACTGAGAACGGCAACGTCGATGAATCCAAAAACTTAAACGTCAGAGAGTTGGCCGTCAGGTTCGAAAGTCCGACAGAGCAGAGGCAGGCCTTCACCTTCCAGAAGTTCAAAGCTGAAATCAAGTATCCCAGCCTAGAGCGAGACGAGCCCCCGGGGACGCGCCGGCCCCCCGGGTCGGGCCGCCTGTCCCGGGGGGCCGGCAACGCTCGCTCGCTGGACGAAAGCGCTTTCACGAAAGAGTTCGGCGACAGAACGTACGTCGACCGAAGGAAAAGCTTAGAAATGAACTTGAAGAAGAAACTGCCCGATCTGAACTTGAACATCCAAGAGGTCGAAGCGAAGGGCGGCACCACGCCCGCCACCGAGAACAAAATATCCTTAGTGCAGCGCTTCCATGAGAAGAGGAAAACGGACATCAAAACCCTGATCGGAGTGGACACGGAGAGGAAGCTCAGCAGGGAGCGGATAGAGAAGTACAAGGAGGAGCGGCGGATGTTCCTCCGCGAGAAGTACAGCTCGCAGTCGTTCCGCAGCAGCCCCGAGCAGCTCACGAGGATCAAGATCAAAAAAGACGACTGCAGGATAGACGACCTCCCGAAGTTCGAGAGGAGAAACACCGTGGACTTGGGTCAGAGGATGAGGTACAGCCTCGCCAGGGGCTCGCCCGACCCGGCGCTCCCCGCGGCGCCGCCATCCCCGTGAGTGCACTGACTTACTGCCGCGCTCTGGGATTGTAACGAACACGCCACCTGTTAATGTTCATGTTAATGTCAAACCTACACGCAGCACGACGCAGCCGCGACGCGTCGCTTAGCACAACTTATGTTACAATTAAATTACTCAACTGCATTAACTGGCTCTCGAGATTCTTAATTGGATTCTCAATAGTCCAATTAATCTACTGTTCTGTTACAAACTCAGGTGCTTTTTTTGTTTTTTCTTTAATTTTAACATTTTGTCATGTTCCGTAAACGATTGGCGTAACAATTGACTGTTTGTTTCATTACAAACTAACAATAATCAGATTTTTTCTGTCAAAATTTGAACTAAACACCCTGTAGTTTATTAGTATTAGTTCTCTTTTGGTTGACGACGCCGACAGCGGCCACACGAGCCGCTCCACCATGAGGGGGGGACCGACGCACGCGGACTCCGCACGAGGTCCTTTACAACTTGTCTGAGAGAATAGACGAGGTCACAATCTGACGCTTAAATACTTAGTGTCTCACTTCTTACAATTGTGTCGTTGGACCCCCGGTGGGGGGCTCGCTGCGAGGCAAGGGTGTCAGGACCGCCCTAGAGCCCCCCGGCCAAACCCGGTATGGGTGCTCGGTAACCAGCACTTAAGTTAACACAAAATGCAACGGGTAAGTTTAATATGTATTATTTGTTTTGATTGCTTCTAGAGAAGACAAACTGTCTCCGCACTCCATCCGGGACATGGCGGCCCTGTTCGAACACAAGTCGCAGCGCACGGGCTGACCCTAGCGATATTATTTGTTTATTATTTAAACGTTCTTGTGGTGAAATCTTAAAAAAAAACATTTTACTTATAAAAATTCGAATAAAATGTAAGTTAAAAAAAACATGAGTTGCAAATTAAAATGCCAACGCACAACGACCGAGCGCCAGTTGTGGTGATGACCGTGGACCGCTGTGGGGCAACCGCTCTATCATCAAGTGACGTGGTTGAGTGCAAGATGTCTCATCTCGCTCAATAACTTGTTATAAAACAAAACCCGCAATGTATTGTAAAATTATTATTTTTAAGATTTTATCATAAAATTCTGAAATACTCTTGTTATGTCATACAATAAAATATGTAATTATTATGTACATAATATATGTGTTAATTAATAAATATATTTTGGGAAACCATTTTAAATCTCAACTGAGAATCTCATAGTAAGTTCACTAACCTGCTCCCCGCTGAGCACACAGGGTCCTGCAACCAACGGACCGCGGGTTCGACACTGGGGACTCAATAAATCGCGTGTAATGTGTTCACTTGTCATTGATATTCTCATAACCATTTATTTCAGAAAACTAGAAACATAAAATTTTCAAAATATATTTATATCAATATAAAGAAATGGTCTCACGCTGTCAAATTTTTGAAGTCTTTTAAACGTTTTTGTTGTTACATTTCCTCTGCCTCTCTGTAGTCAAATAAATGTTATTTATTAGATAAACCTCACAAATTCTATGAGTAAAATAATTTAATTATTTCTTTGTATTTATAGTACAACAAGGTAACAGTTTGCTTGTAACTAATATATCTTGTTGTTGAAAAATAAAGTCTAATAATCTAATATCTATTTGAGTTAATAATGTTAAGGACGCGCGCGGACCATTACATTATTTATTTTATACATATAATTATTTTATAATTAAGATGAAGCTTTTGTTACGTTATTTAATTTATTATTAAATGAAGAAAGTTTAAATGTTAATTTAGTAGAATACCAAATAATTGTAATGTAATTATAAATTGGTTTAGTTGCCCGTACTTAGGTTACCTCGGCTGCGGACCTCGTTATGGACTCGGGAACTTATTGACAGTGTTATTGGTAACGGGGATGCCGACCCGACTCGAAGGCCTTTCTACAAATATTAATTCAAATGAAGTATGAGGGTCGTATTTAGTGGGGGGTCATTCATGTTTGCGAAATGAGTTCCGAAATAACAATTTTCACTTTTTAATGATTAAATATAACACGTGCAGAGGTGTACTAAAGGAATATTAAAATAAATTAATTCGATTTTTGCTCCCAATTTAGAGAAATCATTTGAAACTGTGTTGCTTTGTGGGAGTCCTCTGTAGTCTGGTTGTCGTACTCTGGCGAGGGGAGTGATGTCTCTGCAGACCTGGACCACTGGAACGAGAACACAGACTTTCAAATGGAAAAAAGAAGTTCTGATGCAACACATAAACTCAATACAGTCGAATTGATAATCTTTCTTTTTTAGGGCGGTTAGAAATGAGAATCGCGTTGAATATTTTCATGCGTAAACCGTCGCAGCTTCTGGAGGTGAGGATATACGAATCGAAACCTAATTGGACTGCCTGTGTGTTGCTGCGCCTCCGTGCGCCCCCGTGCGCACTTCTTGTTAACATCTCAGCACTGTGGTGTATTTATGTACATTTTAAAAGTTAACGTGTATTGTGGTATGATATTATGTACATATAATTAATTATTTTACATCACAATTTATAATTTATAATCGCGAATTTGTTAAAAAAAATGTTGCCATAATAAATATGAGGAATCTGGACAGTTGCATTTATATAAAATTAATAAAGGAAATACAACGGAGGCTTTATTTGTTTATGCCGTGAGGGGGCTGGTTTCTGCTGCTCCAGTTGATATAATGAAGGTTGTGGCGATTGTGAATAAACACAATGAGGCACGTTGAGTCATTGGGATGTTTTGTATAAGCATAGTTGTCTTGTATTAGCGGTTCTTTTGTTGCGGCGTCACGTGTCCCTGCCTTCGTACTGTGAGCCCACGTGAGCATTGAGCACTAGCGGCCACTGGCAGTACACTTCGCGTCGTGTGCGCCGCCGTCTCCAGACAACTACCTTCAGCTAACACGAAATTTGCTGACGGATAAAGGATAGAGCTAATAATGAGCTGTGACCCCAGAATATGTATTTTTAAGTAAAATTTGTACTATTTTTTTGGTTGCCAGAAATAAAGGCCCTATCCCCTAGTCGAGACAGTAATGTGGCTAATGTTATCGCCCCCGGTCGCCTCACCTCATGTATTTGATACGTTGTTTATTTTTGGTAATCAAAGTTATAGTCGCGAAAAAAATATTAGGTATATCTCAAACGATTTAATAAAAATAATTATATGAGAAAAAAGTCATTTTCAAACTTATATTATTGTTGAAGTGGGTGAATTGATTTTTTAATGTAAGTATAAATGTCTTGTTTGGAATCTGATTTGGGGTTAATATCCTATGTGTCCTGGCGGATTTGTGACGCATTGTCGCACCAGACACCAGAAAGTCGCTCTTAGTTGTTTCTAAAACTATGATCCTTAGACTCGGATTTGTAATATAAATATTGGACTGTATGCTGCGCCACCCCTACATCAGTGACCCCGCTCTCGCCCAGGCGGGTCACGAAGCCAGCGTCTTCTCTGGTTAGAATACAGGATGGTCGACATTCTGATGCAAGACAACGCGTCTACGGTTTTGTATATAAGGTCCTGTCAGACCGCGGCGGACCCCGGGGAGGCTTACGTCCGGGTCGATGAAGTTGTCACTCTTAGAATTTGTCTCCTCAATTATACGCTGTTGTCGAATCTATGTAATTCTATGATTATCCACGTGCGTCTCCATGAACATTGAAAGCGCTTGTTTGAGCATTAAGACATCGACATTTTTCCCGAATCGATTCGAAACAAGATTTTGTTAAGGAAATAAAGCTTTAAGCAACTTTAATGTACGAGCTACGCGCGGACCGAAGTCGGCTACGAAGTGACCCCTCATTTACTGAAAAATTACCCAATTTGGAGATCATGTCTTGGAAATTGTCGAAAAGATTCCCTTTCCTTCAATATGAGGACTCATAAATGAGATACTCAAATTACTCGGATAACAACAATCAAACGAGTCAGAGAGTGAAAAATAATGCTCAGAATTATATTTATTGGAGAATACGAATTACTGCGAACGTGATATAAATTGCAGTATTTAATGAATTTGTGCGATAATACTGGTTTTCAATTCGTTATTATCGGGTTACTTATGTGACATAAATAATGAAGCTATATTCATAATTGGTGCATGGGTATCATGAAAGCTATTCAACAAATTTCTAATTTACAATAATTTCTTAATTAATGAATGCTTAGGACACTAGGGGGTAATTTCCGTGGGGGTCAAAACGCGTCTGATTTCGGTCCTGTATAAATATCTCTTGTGTAAATTATACAAACTATGTTTACCTATAATAATAGGCTTGTGTAGAATGTAGTGATAACAAAAATGGAATATACACGAATAAACAAAGTATTAAATTGAATTTATTATTTTTATTGGGAGCCCGGGTAGAGAACCGCCACCCACCATCTGGCCGTGAAAACAACTGGTTCTACACTAATTTCCAACTCATGTTCTAGTGAGTGTCGGCCAATAAAATAAAATATTGTACGTTCCTTTTTTTAAGAAATAGGTGAACAAATATCCCCCGACGTTAAGTGATTACAAGGGCAATCAAAATGCTCCTACCACGAAATCTAAGTTGCATTAAATTACCTCAAAACCGGAGCGCGGCAGAAATAAGCAATTTTTTTATTTGCTGCCCGTATAGGCAGATGATCATGCGGCCCAGGCACCTGATGGTGAGTTGTTACCGTCGTCCTTGGGTTTCGGCAATGCCAGGGACAGAGCCAAGCCGCTGCCTACCGTCTAATACTCTCTGGAAGCCTCGTTTGAAAAAGAACATGTCACCTTACAGTCTCAGGTAAAAGGTTTACAATCCCCGAGGCCGGCGGTCATTGCATCTGTGCGAGCGAGACTCATTATATTTGCACGGGAGAGAGAGACAGGTAATAACGGGTTACGATTGAAATTCTTCCTGCTTCGCGCCCGGTGTGTATCAATACAAGTTACCCGCGGTACTAACGTGTCAGTATTTGTTTGAATATCAAATGTCGAGCACCCGCAAAACTATAATTTGCGTAATTATTGGTAGTAGAACCTCTTGTGAGTCCGTGCGAGTAGGTACTACCACCCTGCCGATTCTAACATTCTGCCGTGAAGCAGTAATGCGTTTCGGTTTGAAAGGTGGGTCAGCCGTTGTAACTATACTGAGACCTTAGAACTTATATCTCAAGGTGGGTGGCGCATTTACGTTGTAGATGTTTATGAGCTCCAGTAAACACTTAATACCAGGTGTGCTGTGAGCTCGCCCACCCATCTAAGCAATAAAAAAACTTCACACGCGTTTCCTGGATTCAGTGGAAAATAAAACCATTCTACGTATAAAACTTTTTATTACTTTTTAAGATCACAAGCGAGTCTTTCATAATACGAAATATAGATAATAAGAACTTTCATCAAAATTACAACACGATTGTTTCGTACCGTACAATTAATAATTTAAAGGCAGTAGAAAAAAAAGGAGAAAAATAAACGCCATTCGTACTTCAACAACAACAAGAGGCGTCGCCCGGAGACCACACCAGCTTCGCGTGAGACGCGCGAGGGCGGGCGTCCACGGACTGGCGCTCTCTAATTGTAACTGTCTATGGTAGGACCAAACATCAACAGTACCAAAGTATTTTATTTAACAAGCAGTTACGATCTTGCCACATTGAGGCATGGCCCAGAGTTCCAACTTTCATATAATTTAAGCACAATTACGAAATATACACTTCTAAACTTTTGTAAAATAGTTTACGAAATAAGAAAGCACCATAATGACGTCACACACACGGCTTAACTCGCGCCCCCTCCCCTGGCGTCCCCCGCCCCCCCCTGCGTGGTCCCTCATAGTCGAACACGTATACATATCATTTTAAACTAATCTCAATTAAGTATATGATTACAATAATTTCCATAAGCTTTGGTTTATACTCTTGAGCATTACTGCGCATCCACAAATCTACAAATCACTCAACTCTTAGTGTTCTAAAAATAAAAATATACAATAAATCACAACTAAAAAAATATTAGATCCTAATAATTTACAATAAAATTAATCATTAGTAATTACTTAATTTAAATTCGTTTAAATAAAATCATAAGTCTATCGATTAAATTACGATTTATAATTCTTTAAAGAATTATCATTTATTATAAACAATTGAGAGAGCGGGCAATTAGTGGCTGGACGGCCGGTGGGGGCGCGTGGGGGTCGGTGGGGGCCCGCGTGGGAGGCGGCGGCTCAGAACACGGGAACGCGCGCGCGGTCGGCTCCGGCCAGCCCGTCGTCCAGCGTGAGGTACATGTTGAAGGAAAGGAACATGGCGACGGCGGACATCGCGTGCCAAGCGTCGTGCGCGTCGAACAGTCGCAGCACGCTGCACGCCGCGTTGCGCTCCCGGGACTGCGCCGGGCTGAGCTGGGGGGCCGGAGGGGCGGACTCTCAGTACCAATTGCGCAGACTATACCTTATGTAGTTTTGATTCTTATTACACCATGTTGTTCCTTCACTGTGGAAGTCATCCGTGAACACAGTTGCTATACTCAGTGCGAGTGCACGGTCTAGCTCGTGATCTAGTTCAGGGACTCACAAACTGTTCAAGAAAAGAGACCTCTTTACCAAAATGCATTGACACTTCTGACCCCCCTAAGCAAAATTGGTCGGTCAAGTGAGCAACTCGACATGAGTTTCTCAATAAAATTTAACAAAGCAAATAAACGTCCACCGCCCCGCCGCGGCGCCGTGCTCCAGCAGCTATAGACCTCGCAACGAGCAGGTGCAATGTACTGAATATTTTATACAAGAACTTGTGGAAATTAGCAGGGGTCGGTCCCCGGGTCAGTGGGGGGACCCCCCCAGGAACGCGGCGCACACTCACCGCCCAATTGGTGTTCTGGTCCAGGTAGAAGTAGCTAGACCCGGCCCAGCTCGAGTACGTCAGGACTATGAACACCCACCTGCGGAGGTGAGGGTCAGCGTGAGGTAAGCGCCCAGAGTCGTACGGACTGTCCGGGACACGATTATATCGAAAACATTCAAGTATATTGTGAGCTGCAGTGCGGGCGGCGCTGGGTCCACGACCCACGGAACACACAAACTTTTAATTTGCTTTACATTGCGCCTTTACAAAATACGAAGATAACTGGTGGTGGGGTGTCATGTGAGTCACAGCCCACCTGGTGTCAAGTGGTTACTGGAGCCCATACACATTTACAACGTAAGTGCGCCACCCACCTTGAGATATAAGTTCTAAGGTCTCAGTATAGTTACAACGGCTGCCCCACCCTTCAAACCGAAACGCATTACTGCTTCACGGCAGAAATAGGCAGGGCGGTAGTACCTACCCGCGCGGACTTACAAGAGGTCCTATCAGCAGTAATTACGCAAATAATAATTTTGCGGGTTTCATTTTTATTACACGATGTTTTTCCGTCACCGTGGAAGTCAGTCGTGAACACACAAACTTTTACTTTGCTTTACATTGCGCCTTTACAAAATACGAAGATAGCCGGTGGTAGGGTGTCTTAAAGTCTGCGCGGATTCGTACCACCATCCCTACCATTTCTGCCGCTAAACAAACCTATGCCCCAGTTCGAAGGGTTATACCGTTGAGACTTCGACCTCATTTCTCAAGGGGCCGGCGGCCCGCCCGCACTCGCTCTCGGTACTGAGGGTCTGGTAGTCACGTGTAGCAGGTGATGGTCTCCCGGTGCAGCAGCTTCATCACGATGTAGAACAGCGTGTACAGGAACAGGTTGGTCATCAGCACGAGCAGGAGGTGGGAGGCGAAGTCCCGCGAGTGCTGCGCTACCCTGCGGCACACAGACACACCACACGTACAGCAATACATTTGTATATGTATACCAGCGGTCGGGGAACCGGGGTGAATTACCACAAATGGGGTAAAATGAAATTTTGGGGGGTAAATGTGAAACTTTTGTGAGTAAAAAGTATATATTGAATAGAAACTAGGCTAATATTTATATGAGTGTTGGACTCCCTACGCCAGTTGCGGAGACGTTAATGATGAGAATCTTTGTGGGGGTGAGAAATAATAATGTTAATTTTAAATGCCCAGTGAAGCGGATTGGTACAGCTAGTTCTATATATTAATACGTGAAGCAAAAACTTTGGAGACTTTTTGGCGGGAACGCGAGCAGTGAAGTTGTGAGATTTGTTTTATTTTGTCTATTTAGTCAGGTTTAAATGTATAGTAACTGTACATAGTATTATTAACTGTTTAATATCTGTGAAAGTGCACAAATGTGGGAAAATGAAACAAAGCCGCGGGACGTAACTTCTCGGGATCCTCCAAGAAGTCCACTGAAAAAGTCTCAGTAAATGACCACCATTTTACTATTCTTCTATTCTATTATATTATCTCATCTCATTTAATTTAATTTCATCTAAGTTGATTAATGTCTCAAATTAATCATCTTCATTTCATTTCACTCCGTATCATTTTTCATAAAAATAAAAATATTAATTAAAATAAGACATGACCTAAAGACCTTAGTTACCAGTTCATAAAATTCCTTTAAAAAAGCAAAAACTTTGTATCTACCCCTTTTTACGAAAATTGCGCGGACGGAGGAGTATGAAATTTCCCACAATTTTAGAGAATACAGAGGAGTGCAGACTGTTATTTTTTTTTTTAGTTATGCTTAAAAAATGCATTAAATCAATAAATAAAAACATTACACACACTACCATCTATTTGACGCACACAAGCATGCATACTATTTGTTTATTGTCAAACTTTTCTTATTGCTTATAGTCTGTGGTCAAATTGAGAATAGATTAAAATTAAATATTATTTGTCTTTAATATTATTTATCTATAGTATAGTCTTGGCAAAATCTGTGATTATAGAAGCATAACAGTCTTTAACAATAGAATCATAATAGTGTACAAACTTATAATTACAATTAATTACAGTCGAATTTCGACTACCGGGCGACCACTAGTTATATTAAAAAGGCCACTTATAGATTTTCTAAATACACAAATTCACTTGCGGTGGGCCGAGCTGTGTTCATAGCCACAGCGGGATAGTTACAGTTCGCAGCCGCTGTGCAATACACATGTGACTCCGACCTTATGTCTTAGGAAGCCCGCCCCCCCTCGCGCCCGCCTCATATCTGGGCCGAAACTCACCCATTTACCAAAAAAAAATCTATCTCGTGCTAATCAAAACACCGGTATACTTTAAGAGTCCCTTTGTCCGCATCTGAATTTAGACCCCCCTATAGTCCCCCATATGGCCACCACATATCGGACAGTGACGTCACAATGTTCCACAGAATTTTAGTCCCAAACCTCGTTTATACACAACAACTTTGATGCCAACGTGAGCTAGTTCAGTGCCCGTCGTCACCCCCGACTGTAAAATTAGTGAGTTTCCTGACGAAGCACGAGTCCTCTGCGTGTTAGAGACGTGCACAGTTGGCCGCTGCGGTCCGTGGGCCACAGTGGCCGAGCGGTGCGAAGTGGCTGTTTGTATACCCGTATCCCGCGAGCCCCCAGTTGATCAGGTTGGCGAGCAGCAGCATGAGACCGCGCGAGGGGCGGAGGGCGGCCCCCCGGCTCGCGGCCCTCACCCACCCCATGTCTGCAGGGACACAACGACGCTATAGGAACCACTCAGAAGCGGCGACAAATATAACATGAGTGAGATGTAGAGGGTCGTGACGTTATCAATGCAATGAAAATAAATAATTCGATTCACCATTTTATTACTGGTGGTAGGACCTCATATGAGTCCACACCGGTAGGTATCACCGCCCTGCCTCTTTCTACCGTGAAGCAGTAATGCGTTTCGGTTTGAAGGGTGGAGTAGCCGTTGTAACTATACTGAGACCTTAGAACATATATCTCAAGGTGGGTGGCGCATTTACGTTGTAGATGTCTATGGGCTCCAGGCTGTGAGCTAATCCACCCATCTAAGCAATAAAAATAAAATAAAATAAAAACACCAAACAATGTTTTTGTAAGTTTTCTATACGATTACTCGACACCTCGGACTAGGGAGCATTTGACCACAAATGACGTCACGTCCGAACAGTTTAGTTTCTGCGTTGCAGATAGATAGAGTTCAGGAACTTACCCAGCTTAAACCTGCCCAGGTAGTATATTTGGAAGGTAATGAAGAAGCAGGTGAGGAGGTGTAGCGCGGTGAAGGCCACCCAGAAGTAAACGTTCGCGTTGAGCACACCCACCAGACCTCGGGGGAGACACAGGGGTTAGCAACCGGCGCCCCGCGCACCACCAGGGCGTGCGGGGGCACCGATATATATATACTAATAAACCTTTACCGTAAGCCCTTTGTGCAGTCTCACAAAATGCAACAAAAAACAAACAGTCTATTTGTTGTTGAAAAATGATGCCATCGTCTTTATTTTGACCATCGCACCGCCCGCCACCGGAGCAGAGTCCATCCATACTACCTGGAACCACTGCGTTCATCCACATCCAGAGGTCTTTTTTGCCCCGTACCATCCGGCTATGGAATGAGCTCCTCTCCAGTGTTTCCCGAGCGCTATGACATGTCCTTCTTTAAAAGAGGCTTGTGGAGAGTGCTTAACGGTAGGCAGCGGCTTGGCTCTGCCCCTGGCATTGTCGAAGTCCATGGGCGACGGTAACCACTCACCATCAGGTGGACCGTATGTTGCCCAGTCGAACCGCAAGGACCGATTAGGTTACCGCGAACGTCGCACGCACTTGTGGGTAGTTTTAACAAGTTTTGAATCCTACTTATTTTGATTTATCAGAACATACACTAAAAAGTTCATATCTAAAATCAATACAATGAGTGTTCTTGAGGCACTGCGGAGTCATCGACCTCGTGTGAGGGTTCGCGTTCCATTGCGTGTTGCGAAGGCGACACGCTCGCACCCACTCACCTATAAATATGATGAGCGCCAGGACCCCGAAAGTGGCGTGTGCTCTTGCGTTGATGTCGGGGTGCCGGGACTGGTAGATCTTCACCATGCAGAGCGCTGACGTCACGTACATGAACGACGTGTCTGTGTGTTTTAATGCATAGGCGTTTCAGTGATTTTTACTTGTGGTAGAAACTCTTGTGAGTACACACGGGTAGGTACCACCGCCCTGCCTAAATAGAAACGGCAGAAATCTGCCGTGAAGCAGTAATGCGTTTCGGTTTGAAGGGCGGCGCAGCCGTTGTAACTATACTTGAGACCTTAGAAGTTATATCTCAAGGTAGGTGGCGCATTTACGTGTGAGCTCGTCCACCGAACTAAGCAAAAACTTTTAATGGTAGTGGCTCATGGACATCAGAATCCCACGAGCCGGCGAGCAGCCGTACATCGCTGACTGGAGCGGACGGAGCCTCGTCGGCAGAAGGTTAGTGGACTATTAGAACAGGGTCTTACCGAACTGGAAGTTCATGCTGTTGGGGCAGACGTGGTAGGCAGCCGACAGAAAGCCCTCGCTAATCAGGGCGACGCCCATCGCGTACAGCAGCCCGAAGTGCTGGGGGATGCCTTTCTGTTTCTAGAAGAACGTATCGGGAGCTCAACAAGGGCGGGACCGCACGCCGCGAGAGGGCAGGGGGACACAATACTGCCCCTATAATTTTAGAGTCAAAACCGAATAACATCTCCATTATTTCTGCCGCGGTGCAGTCATCTGTTCCAATTTGAGGAGTGGGGCAGATGTCAAATTTTATATTGAAATAGACTACAATGTCCACACCGCATCCACTAACACAATGTGCTAGTCCTGCCGAAATCCAACATACTGTTACGCCGATAAGAGTAAAGCCATCTATCGCCGAATAGTCGAACGAATATCGAAGGATCTAGTAACACTTAGAACGCTCGAGAAGTACAACGCCATCTATTGTCAGATAGCGGAAACACCATACTGGAGATGTGTGGAATATTCTCGATAATTCTAGGGATGAGGTATCCGCTATAAAAGCGTTTCAGAGATGGCAAGCAGCCAGTCAGTAATCGGAACTAGTCGAAGCGAAACAGCGAACGGATCACCTGAAGCGAAGCGGAGCAAGCAAATTGAGAGTTTTTAAATGTTTGTTGAGTGTTTTAAAGTATTTGTGAAGTGTTTTAAGTGTTGAATTGAACAGTTTTTAGTTGTACTCCGATAGAATTTTTATTTATCCCGAACCCCAGCGCGTCACAATACCTTTTCCTCTGGTTCGTTTCTCATGATCCTCTGCCTCCTCCAGACCTGCAGCAGGAACAGAGCCCCAAGCACCACGTAGCCCAGATTCGAGAACACGTGGTTAAAGTCGGACAGCATCATCAGCGGATGTGCGCAGAAGAAGTTGAAGTAGCACAGGTCCTGGTTCCCGGACTGGTTTAGGAGCTGAAAGAGATTTGTTACTGCACTCGTCGTACTGCGTCATGGCTACGCGAACGAGGCGGCATGTGCTTTCCGCCCTTGACCTAAAGCTGAATATTGCGTGACAAGTTTATCGGCGTCGCTACTGGTGAACGTAATGTGGTGATATCAGCTGACCCCCCCTCTCCCCATCGCGCCGTCCTTCCACGCGCCTTGCCGTTAGCAAACGTAGGGCAGAGATAGGGGGCACCTCACAGCCAGATGTCTCACGATGAGTCATGAGTATTGAGGTTGTGATGACGAGAGCTTATTATTAGGCGGCCCATCGTGTTGTCACCTATATTCCTTGTTTATGGTGTCACATGGGAGCCGGACGGACCCCGCGGGGTCTGGACCTGGAACAGTTACAGGTGGACTTACCCGTTGGTAGGTGACCACCAGCTGCAGCACGGGCAGCGTGTAGAACACGGAGACGGTGAGCACGGTCCACAGGTACCGGTTGGAGCGCGTGGCGAGCACCCGGGCGCGGCACCTGTGGGGGGAGGGGGGGTCACCAGCATTATGATGAATGTCAGAGCGACGACAAAAGCTTACATTAATTTTTAATGTAAAAGACACATCAAAACAGTTTATGAAAAAATATGCTCACGGACGCTCATGGCCCCTTATCAGCTAACGGCTGCATATTAGCAGTCAGTGCCGAGACTGGAGTTTTGAAGCTTATTTATATACATGTCGGGAAGAATGCTCATGAGAGCTCATGAATGCTCACACGTAAGTATCGTCCCGTTAGGTCTCAGGTTTGCACAACGCACCTAGACAGGTCGGCCAGGCACAGCTTCGTGCCGTATCGGTACAGCTCCTTGTCCGTGGTCACGTCGTCCAGCGTCGAGTACTCCGACTCCGTGTCTGACTGAGAATCGACTGGAAGTGAACATAGATAATAACAATGACAAAATGAGCAAACGGTAAATAGACGCTAAATTTATTAACAGGTTTGAGAAAACTGTGGGCAGTTGGTTCTCAAAGTTGTGAAATATTTGTAGGCCCTCACCGGAGCTTCCGTCCGTGGGCCGTGGGAGGGACGGACCCTCTCCGGAGCTCTGCCCCTCACTGTCGTGTGAAGACCTCACTATAGTCTCTGCGGAAAACAACAATTTACAAGTGATATAAGACGAAAGCGCCCCGCGTACAAACCGACACTAGAACAAACATCTATATACTATATGACGTTCGTCGCTGTTGCTACTTCATATAGTTTTTTACAAAATCATTAATGTAATAATAAAAAACCGTCTAAATTTGTTCAAACTTCTAACGCACGGACATGACAAGCTGACACTTTTTATTGAGTCATACAAAACGAAAGTCAATAAATAAAATATAGCCCCCCGATCAACCCCCCAGTCACCTCGTCCCGAATCCAGATGCCGTACATACATAAGTTTAATTTTTTTTTATTGCTTTGGTGGGTTGACGAGCTGACAGCCCACCTGGTCTTAAGTGGTTACTGGAGCCCATAGACATCTACAACGTAAATGCGACAGCCACCTTGAAATATGGGTTCTAATGTATAGTTAGTTACAACGGCTGCCCCGCCCTTCAAACCGAAACGCATTACTGCTTCACTGCAGAAATAGGCAGGGAGGTGGTACCTACCCGTGCGGACTCACAAGAGGTCCTACCACCAGTAAAATACTAGATATATTAGACATCCAGGCAGAGCTTAAACAAAATGCAGATCACGTCCGTAAGCATTCATTACCGGACGTGAGCACCGAACCCACCGACCCCCGGTCCAGTAGCCAGGACCGCTGACCACCGCGCCATCGAGAAACTTTATCGGTATCTCTGAGGGCAGTTCAAATCTCTTACCCTGGTCCTGGTGCTCCACTCCCGTGGACTTTCTGCTTTGGTAGAGCACGAAGACGAAGAAGGCCAGGTAGAAGGAGGCGTAGAATAGCACAGTGGCCCCGGCGGCTATCAAGTACTCTCTGTACGATATCGTCTCCACGATCTTGAACCTTGCAACATTTTTTATTCTTAGTGCTACGGATCTGACAAGCTCGCACTAAGTTATTCCTTCTTTTTTTTATTTGTTGCTTAGATGGGTGGACGAGCTCACAGCCCACCTGGTGTTAAGTGGTTACTGGAGCCCATAGACATCTACAACGTAAATGCGCAACGTACACCTTGAGGTATAAGTTCTAAGAACCCAAGTATAATTACAACGGCTGCCCCACCCTTCAAACCGAAACGCATTACGGATGAAATAGGCACAGTGGTGATACCTACCCGTGCGGACTCACAAGAGGTCCTACCACCAGTAATTACGCAAATTATAATTTTGCGGGTTTGATTTTTATTACACGATGTTATTCCTTCAGCGTGAAAGTCAATCATAAACATTTGTTAAGTACATATTTCATTAGAAAAATTGGCACTTGCCGGCGGGGTTTGAACACCGTTGCATCGCTTGATACGAATGCACCGGACGTCTTATCCTTTATCCATAGAAGAAGGCACATTTACATATTTTATATACACAAATGTACAATACCGTGAGATGAATCTACCCTCGTTATAAGAAAAAAATGTTCACTAGAGCCGCGTCCCATTAAACTTACCTAAAATTCTTGACCCGACCCTCCGTGCTACTGACTTGGATGTTGTCCCCCCAGCCCAGCAGACGCGCCACGGCGGGCACGGACCCATTGGTCCCCGGCTCCTTGCAATCCTCGTCCGATGTTTTGACTATGAACACTATGTAGAAGCCGATCGGAAACGTGTCTTGCTGGAAGGAGATGGAGAGTCCCAATGCTTTGTCGGTAATTAAAGGTCATCGCCGCCGTCACCTGACCACGAGGTCGCGGCTTAGAGGGTAGGTTGCAATCAAACGTTATATACAGTCCTAAAGGTCCTTGACCGCGAGCCCGTCTCTCATTTTTTTATTGCTTAAGTTGGTGGACGAGCTCACAGCCCACCTGGTGCTAATTGATTACCGGAGCTCATAGACATCTACAACGTAAATGCCGCCACCTACCTTGAGACATGAGTTCTAAGGTCCCAGTATAGTTACAACGGCTGCCCCACCCTTCAAACCGAAACGCATTACGGATGAAATAGGCACAGTGGTGATACCTACCCGTGCGGACTCACAAGAGGTCCTACCACCAGTAATTACGCAAATTATAATTTTGCGGGTTTGATTTTTATTACACGATGTTATTCCTTCAGCGTGAAAGTCAATCATAAACATTTGTTAAGTACATATTTCATTAGAAAAATTGGCACTTGCCGGCGGGGTTTGAACACCGTTGCATCGCTTGATACGAATGCACCGGACGTCTTATCCTTTATCCATAGAAGAAGGCACATTTACATATTTTATATACACAAATGTACAATACCGTGAGATGAATCTACCCTCGTTATAAGAAAAAAATGTTCACTAGAGCCGCGTCCCATTAAACTTACCTAAAATTCTTGACCCGACCCTCCGTGCTACTGACTTGGATGTTGTCCCCCCAGCCCAGCAGACGCGCCACGGCGGGCACGGACCCATTGGTCCCCGGCTCCTTGCAATCCTCGTCCGATGTTTTGACTATGAACACTATGTAGAAGCCGATCGGAAACGTGTCTTGCTGGAAGGAGATGGAGAGTCCCAATGCTTTGTCGGTAATTAAAGGTCATCGCCGCCGTCACCTGACCACGAGGTCGCGGCTTAGAGGGTAGGTTGCAATCAAACGTTATATACAGTCCTAAAGGTCCTTGACCGCGAGCCCGTCTCTCATTTTTTTATTGCTTAAGTTGGTGGACGAGCTCACAGCCCACCTGGTGCTAATTGATTACCGGAGCCCATAGACATCTACAACGTAAATGCCGCCACCTACCTTGAGACATGAGTTCTAAGGTCCCAGTATAGTTACAACGGCTGCCCCACCCTTCAAACCGAAACGCATTACTGCTTCACGGCAGAAATAGGCAGCGTGGTGTTACCTACTCGCGCGGACTCACAAGAAGTCCTACCACCACTAATTACGCAAATTATAATTTTGCGGATTTGATTTTTATTACACAATGTTATTCCTCCACCGTGAAAGTCAATCGTGAACATTTGTTGAGTACGTATTTCATTAGAAAAATTGGTACCCGCCTGCGGGATTCGAACACCGGTGCATTGCTCAACACAGATGCACTGGACGTCTTATCCTTTAGGCCACGATGACTTCATTAGGTAGTCGACCCTACCCAGCAGGGAGGGGCCTGCTGTCCACGGACCTCAGTCGGCGACTGGTGGCACTGGAGCGCGGTGCAGCGGTACTTACAGTAAGCGTGATCCCTCCTCGTCTCGTCATAGTTAAATAGTACCCGTCGTACAGTATGTCACGTTCGTTGTCGAACACGGGACACTGGAACCAGAAACCCACGATTACATCCGGCTATCGACTTATTACCAGTCAACAGAAATTAGATACCTATGAGTATGTGTGGCAGAGAAGCCACTACATTGAATTATGACGTCAAATGCAAGTGGGCGACTCTAAACACATACGAGCCACCCCTCTGTCCCCTGCAATCACGTCAAACCCTTATATCTCACAATTTTATGAAACATTGAAAATATTTCTTCAAAACGTGCACTAGATTTCATTGTACCAAGCCATTTATTTATAATTAGTAAATACTTAATACCTGGACTATTCAAGTAGACCTCTGACCTACGGCTCCCGGTAGCTATTTAAGTGTTTGTGTCCATATATTAAGTCAATGGGGTGGGGCAAAAAAAGTTTGAGAGCCACCGACCTAGGCACTCACCGAGAAGTTCTGTATGGAGACGACGGCGCAAAGCTCGTCGTCGGATTCGATCATGACTATGACGTTCTCGGGTCGGGAGAGCCACCCATACCCAACCTCGTTCCTCTGCACCTCGCCATGCCCCCTCCCACCACTCGCGCCACAGATGTACTCCTTACGCATTTTCTGCTCGTCAAAATTCACCGTTTTCCCTGAACCCTTTTTGAATGGATAGAAGTAGTATTTAGGCTGGCTCGGCGAGACCGTTATGTTGATGGTCTGATTGATTTTAATGTAGAAATCTTGGACTTTCTCCACTAAAATTGTGACTTTCAACTGTTCTGGCGAGGACGACGTCAGGTGGACTATAGGCGTGTTCAGGGAGGGTGCATCTGTAATGAAGACGTACCGGTAATGTTGAGTGCGCGAACTATTTTCGATCATATTTCTAAGCTCTTTAGGTCGCTTTTTACGTGGACGCACAAGCTCAGGGGCATATTGAAAGCACGTGGGTAGCAGCGTCAAGTTTTCCAAGCGGTCGTGTCTTCCAGCTCGAGGAGTGAGGCAGCCGATATACCTCGTCAGATGGAGCACTGTGAGCTGTTCATCCAGAGCCATTAAAAAGGGGACTGGATGGGAGTATGTCTGAGGAGTCATATATCTATTTGTAATAGCAGTTGCAGTATAAGCAAGTCCGAGCCTCCGGGCTGCACGGCGTGCAGGATGATGGGTCGTTCAGACCGCTAGCTTACCGTGTGAACTACATACGTGAGCTTTTAGAAATCACACCAGTGCTTTTAATTAAAATCGTGAACTTCTATAAAAAAATAATTATGAAATTATAACAAAATATTTACTTCTGAAGGAATCACAGTACAATATCATCTCCTTTTCGTTAACTATGGAAAGCGTGAAAATTTTAATTGTAATTAGTAAAACAGTACACGACGGGAGACGAGAGGCTATGTATATATTCTTTTTATTTTCAAATTTTGCCAACGATTCTCAAAGTTTAAATTAATTATGAAAAAACTTGTATAATACAATAAAAGCGGTTTTGTTTCGATATAGAAACAGTGCCCTTTTCAGAAATCAACGCACAATTTAAGCAAGGCGGTGGTCGCTGATCACAACGCAACTGCCACATTCTGAACTTTAGAACTGAAAGCCTTTATAGAGACCCGAAGGGTACAGCTGTCCTGAATGCCACAAAACCATTCGAGTGTCCTTATATGAAACAGGACGGATGTTTAAGCTATAGGCGCGCTGGGGGCAAAAGGGGGCGCGGGAAGGGGGCGAGGAATTTAAAGTTTCCCCTGCATATTGCCTTGGGCCTTTTAAGCAGGACGGGTTGGCGAGTCCGGTATACTGACACTCACCACAGGCCTCGGCGTCTTCATCGAACATGTTGTTGTGAGGGCAGAGGGTTCTGGATATGCTAGTGAACTGTTCCGTGGTTACCGGGGTCTGGACCAGCATTGGCAGTTGCCACGAGAACACCCCTGCAACGTGTAAGCAGCTGACCGTGAAATTTTGATCATTCTTAATTATTATTATTATTGCTTAGTTGGGTGGACGAGCTCACAGCCCACCTGGTGTTAAGTGGTTACCGAAGCCCATAGAAATCTACAACGTAAATGCCGCCAGCCACCTTGAGATATGGTTTTCTAAGGTCTCAGTATAGTTACAACGGCTACCCTACTCTTCAAACCGAAACGCATTAGTGCTTCACGGCAGAAATAGGAGGGTGGTGGTACCTACCCGTGCGGACTCACAAGTTGTCCTTCCACCAGTAATTACGCAAATTATAATTTTTCGGGTTTGGTTTTTATTACACGATGTTATTATTCTTTCACCGTGGAAGTCAATCGTGAACATTTGTTAAGTACGTATTTCATTAGAAAAATTGGTACTCGCCTGCGGGATTCGAACACCAGTGCATCGCTAGATACAAATGCACCGGACGTCTTATCCTTTAGGCCACGACGGTTCGTTCATACATACCTTTCTGCTGTCGAGCTGTGACGAACAACGGGTAAGTTCTATTCGCGCTGTCGCAGGCAACCGTCACCCTAGCGGGGACGCTGTGGAACTCCTGGAAGTCCTAAACAAGGGTTCAGAAAGTTGAATGTTTTTTCAAACTTTAAAATCACACGTTATTTATGAACAGAACTAAAAAACATGTAGCTTTGCATGAATTTTCATTCAGTTTTAATAGATGTATCATGGTAAAAAATCGGGAATTGGGTATACCTTGAATGTAACAGTAGTATGGGACCAAGTTGGTGTGAGGCAGAAGATTCATAGACCTTCACATTATTACTTGTACAATTTGGGCCCAAAGGGCTTGTTTTCAAGAATATTAAGATTATTTGCAAAGCATGTTTTAAATTTAAACTAGTTTTTTTTTTTTTTTAATAAATAACTAAATGTTTACTAACAATCACGCCACGTTAACTGGTCCCGTGATAAGTTCGTAAAGAACTTGTGTTACAGGTACCAGATAACGGATATAAATGTAAGATTTTTATTATACACATACATATATATATATATAATAGACATTCATAACCCTGGAAAAGACATTTAAATTTATCATACAAATATCTTCCCTTGGCGGGATTCGAACCCGCGACCCCCCGGTGTAGTGACCATGTCACTTACCACTACACCAGACGGCCGTTTATAACTAGATGTTTATTAGAAGAAAAATATTTTATTCCTAATATATAGTTACAATTTATCAATGGTCTCTGCACTAAGCATAGCTTGTATTACAAAAAAAAAACTATAACTATCCCTGATTAGGTAATTAATTATACATTTAAGTTTCAAATGGGATCAATTTATAATGAAATCAAATTTAAGTTGATCTTTGAAATGTTTGCAACAATTTTACATATTGAGAGTAAGTCTGTAGACTTTGTGGTTTCTGGCTCTTCTGGAAATAACAAAAATAGAGATGGTGTTTTCGCTCACCCCTCCAAACTCCATAATATATTCGGTGCTCTTGTTTACATATAACGTGTATGTAACATCATATTTGTATCTGAAAATGACAATTTCATTTTTTTTTTTGAGTGTACTAGAGAATGGTTTATCAAAATGAGACACATGAGCACACTGTTATTCATCAGCTAGTCTATAAGGGCTCTCGATAAGGTTCACTCATACTTAATTTACTCATACTTTTGTGCACTGTTTTACAAAAACAAGTTTAACAGTACTTTCAGAATTTTTGTTCATAGATTAAACCTGTTTAGTATTCTTGAATCAGCTATTATTATTATTATTATGATCAGCTATTATAATCAGTTATTACTATTATACAGAACTTGATTCAGCTATTCCAATTTATCTGTCAAGGTAATGTCAAGGTATTGTGTCTTTTTTTTATCCGTTAAAACTATCTGTAAATTACAGGGCTATTTATGCAACACTCGAGGTTAGGGGAATGAACTGAGTACTAGTGGCAGATGGTGAATGCATCTGATTGGCATGATTTGCACTAGTAATTTTCAAATTATGTTATTTTCAATCAGACAGTTTCAAACAGACACTTTATATTGGTTGTGCCATCAGCTTTTTCAATATCTATGGGTATTACACAGTCAGATCAGCTGTACACTACCCTGCAGTGGCATAGAAATCACATTTACTAGTAAAGATAATTAAACTACTATATGAGATAAAAATGAAAGCATCCCGGTAGCATTGCATTGATAAGCCACAAGACTTGCTATCAGACAACAGTAATTCTGTTTATTTTGTTGTTATAAATAATTAACATTGTGTTTAAAAATAAGATAAGAATGTTGACATTATGAACTTATGACTACAGACTTCATTTTTATGGTAAGAAAGTCCAATTCTTGATATTGTTTCTTCCTTGACATTAGCTTGAAGAGACCTAAGGGGCTCAAAGATGATATGCTGCAAAAAAAATACGCATCCCCGAGGAAGCTACTAAGTTTCAAAGTTAAATAAATAATGCCAAAGCGACCTTCGTTCTTTTCAGACTCTTTCATCTGTGTAACAAAGGTCCCAACATCCACTCTCAAAGAATCGGGTACGGAAATTTATTACTTACGTGTTATTGTAGTAGAAAATAATGTCTTCCTTGTAAAAGCTCTGCTGTAGTGAGAGAAAAGGAAAACCTAATGTTATTACTAACAATAGCAACGTATCCATTTTGCGTTCTTTGAGACTTTTATTCTGAATTTTAGTGCATTAATGGTAAATGCAATTAAACTTAAATTAATACATTGTTTTCATTTACAATATGTGACTATTTTAAATTTGAATTTGTTTTGAAACTACAACAATGAACTGTTGTGAACGTCATACTCGTGTTTTGACAATTTAGCTTTTTTGACGTGTTTATTCGCTATGCAAAGACATTATTATTCATACTATCAAAAATGGAAACAAAGGTTTCTTTCGAGTTTCTACTTTATGTATGAGTAGTGAAATGAAACAATTTGTTGAAACTGAATAAAATTTTATGAGGTGAGATAAAACCTGTTTTTGATAAGGTGAAGTCATTTTTAAGTAATATGATGTAAACTACTTACCCATCTTGACTCGCCTTTCCACCAAAAGATCTGTTGACATTTTCTACAAGTCTGTCTCTAGTATTATAGCAATTTTTTTTATGTGATTACGATTATGTTTTTAGTTTAAAAGACTATTTGGTTAAATTGAAGTATCTTAAGAAATTTTATTCATAAGAAGATTTTATGGCCTGGTAAAGAGATTACATTCATAGCCACCACCAAATTGTTAAAACAATGGTTATTTTTAAGTCGTCGTGGTTTAAATGATAGGACTCCCGTAGTCCTCGTATCGAGCGATGCGACTTTGCCTAGTGCTTTTGTTTGGCGGCCTTTAGGAGTATTTTTATTTAAAAAATGGTTACCTTTACAAAATTTTCTTAAGAAATTGAATGTGACCTTGAGGTGTCAAAGACGAACGTCGAATTTCGATTATTGGACGTAGAGTAGTTGATATAAATACACCTTTCTTTTGGATCTTTTACTGAATGTTCGGTATTTATATAAACTTAATCGCGACCTCTATTACCGACCTTCTTGAAACAATATACCGACACATAAGCCACCGATGCAGTGGCAAGTTTACGTATCACAAACGTAAGGTGTTACCAAGAGCAACATAGTTATCACCTAATAATAATGCTTAAATAAAATAAAACACCTACAATAAATAAATGGACATTTTTATTTAATTAATAAAAAACGAAGCTTGCTTACATATTAGATTAATTTACATGTATACACGTGTTATTATATCTATATTCTAGGAAGGTGGATCGAGAGAATCATTTGTATCCGCCATCAATGTTGCCAACCCCAGTTTTAAATGGGTATTTGACTGTTACACAGGTAAACGGAATACTTTACAAATTGTTTACATATTCTTAAATTTCAGTATTTACAATGAAAATCTATATTTTTTTTAATAAATGGTTAATAAATACGTAAAAAAACTACCAAAACGCATCCGTTTAGGAACCAGAGGTCAGGATGCTACAGGAGGATGCTGCGATTCCCCAGGACACAAAGTACGTTCACAAAACAAATTTGGAGCGTTTTTGGTCACGTGACGTAATCAGAGCTTGCTCAAGAATGGTAAATGTTCCGAAAGGTAATTACAAAACATATTACGGACCTAAAATACAGTTACAATCACCGAAGGTAGCTTCAAAACAAAACACATTTCAACAGTAGAGTGCTCGGTTTGGAGTCATTCTTACCAACTCTGACTCGTCCTATTTTGCGAACTTTTTTTTAGCAGAGAATATTAGTGTTGTCTGTAAATAACATTCATTAATTAACAAACAAAAAAAAACAATTAAATATAACGTTTCATGTAAATTTTCTAGTTTTTAATTCATTTAAAAACTGATTATAATAGACATCAGACAACTTTTCAGAGAGTTTACTGTAATCATTAAATTATAGGTCATGTTTTTTTTAAATGAATAAAAATTGGACTGCCCAAATTTAAAGAGGTCTTATGAAGTGACCGTGTGACTTCAGGCGTGGGTTCATAAACGACAAGCTAAATACTCACGAATGACTTCACACTGACAGATCCAAAATGCTAATAACAAATGCATCCTATAAAACAAAATTAATTAATGAATTTTATACAAAAGTATTGAGAATTTTAAATACATTCGTTTTTAAATATATGTATATTTTAAAAAAAGTTGAGTTTTCATTCTTTTCACACTTGTTATGGCTATAACTAGGGAAGTTAGATAAACAAATCGAACAATAAAAGTCTAATTGAAACATTTAGTTTTCTAGCAACTTTAGTGCGCGGATAAGGGCTGGCTACACCGTGCCTCGGGCGATAGTTCAGAGCTGCAACACGTCAGAGAGGCAAGTATCGATTCGCGGCTTCTGCGTCCTCTTGGCGGCGGAGCGCGTCCGGAACTTGCTGGACTCGAGGCTGGGGGTCAACGACTTGATGCATCTGCGGACAACAATTCAATCTTCAATTGTAATAAGTATTGAAAACAGTCGCATGTACAAAATAAGCTCTGCGGGTATGTAGGAAGATGCTACTAGTGGAGACTTTCAATAGACACTATCTGTTCGAAACCAATCTGTAATATAACTAATCTGTGGGAACGGGTTGCGAATTGGCACGGCGTTCGCGACTTGATATCTATCACTTCAGCTTGCTCGAACGCGACGGTACCCTCATATGTGACAGTTTTGCTACGGTACCCTACGGTTTTGCATTATCACTAATCCTTATCCATTCCTGCCCTGAAGCCTTCTCCCTAAGTGAACGGCGTGAGTCGACGAAGTCATCGGTTCCGGTGAGTGATTAGACGATATTTTGTTAAAATAGTACATACGGCGCTGTGGGTTGCGGCACATGTTCGACGGGCACCTCGTGCTGGTTTCCGGAGCCCTAGGCTGCCACGAGGGCGCTGGGTTCGGATCGCACACTATCAATAGTAATTTGGTTTAGAAATACAGAAATCGTTGGATGTAAAATTACATCTTTACCCCTACTATGCAGGGCGGTGTAAGCAACTCAGCTGATGTTCAATATACATCCGACATCTTTCTAATGTCAAGTGTATCAAGATTACTGGTTGTGTACGTACTTGGCAGCATCGTGTAGCTTCCTGGCGAGCAACTCGTTCTTCATGTTGGCGGCGGCGAGCTCGCGCCGTAGCTGCGCCCGCGACTTGATCGGCGCCGCCACGCCGCGCCACGCCCCGCCCCGCCACGCCATGCGACGTAGGCGACGCGCTGACGGACGCGCGCTCGGAGACGGGTCCACCATGCTCTGAGGAAACAACGCGATCGGTCAGGTACTACAAACCAATACTTATTGTTTTAGATCAGACCATACATACCTTGAGGAGATCATTGAACTCTCTGGACAAGTTTGGCAAATCTGGTAATTTTCCGTCCCTGTAATCGTGCCATTTTTGTCCGTTTTTAGGTAATGGTCCCCCTCCAGCTGCCTCGAATAACGTCAAACCTGGAACCAATGGATCTTAACAACAACTGGACAATGAACTTGTCTGCTAAAATACAGTACGTATGAGCGAGTGTATTTTGTTTAAGCTTTTCCGCAATAGTGGTTGCAGGAAATTACTCACCAAAAGCAAATATGTCAGCTTTAGGTAACTGCGAAAAGTCTTCGTGTAAGACTTCCTTGGGTAGGTACCTGCAGTCGCCTTCCTCTACAGCGGGCGAAGATACACATGTCACATGACCTAAGTCACCTGTAATCACAAATGAAAACAATTCTAAAATTATTTCATCAGACATTACTTTGTGGAGTGATGTCCCATTGGGTCAGTGCTGAGCGTCACAAATACCCACACTGAAGCATGGCGGATGAAATACAAAAAAAAAATAAGTTAAATAAAAGTATCGTTTGTCTAACCTTAACAAACCACCAACAAAGAAATCATTCAACTGCCATAACACTAATAATTTTGTTATTTAACATTACAGAGGTCATGTGTAAATTAAGATATTCTTTAATATATATTACTTTCATGAACATTTAACACATTTAATTCTTTCTTCTATCAAGCGAGAAAGCATTGGGAGGCATTAGAATGATTGTGAAATACATACCGATTTTATATTTATGATTAGGAGCTGATTCCTCGTCGTCGTAGCCGTCGTCTGACTCCCTGCAGGCGTCCACGTCACCGCTGCATATGAATATGTTACCGGGCTTCACGTCCATGTGTACTAGTTGCTGGGAGTGTATATAGCTGCAGAGAATAATTACATATTACTATATACACATAGAATTACAAGAAAATTACAATTAGACAAAGTAACATATCATTTCTCACGAACAAATAGTTTTATTAAATCATATGTGCCTGTCAAAGTCATACATATTTAGTTCTCGTGATAGGCCAGGCCTGGTAGAGGGTCAATCCGAACCAGGCTATGTTGTTCTTCTTTGAATTTCAAATGCAAATGTCGACTTTTTTCATTTTTGTTTTTTAATATGATATCAATTTAACATTTCAAGATACTGAGTTAGGCCCTACATAGTTACATCAGAACAAGTGCAGTCAGACTCCGAATTCTAAAGGAAGACAGTGTGCCCGTGATTCAGTTCTCATGCCAACTAATCCAGCGAGGCGACCGCGATGTGTGCACTTACGCGAGTCCTGCAGCTATGTGTGAGAGTAGTATGAGGAGTTCGCTCTCCGGCAGCGGCCCGTCCTCCATCTTCAGCTGTAAGGAGCCTCCGTCGCAGTACTCGTTCTGGATTATCATGTGATCGTCCTCCGCCCAGGCCGAGTAGTATCTGCATGTAATGCAATATTATATTTTATCAATGAGTACTGCGTGCCTGCGTGCGTGAGTGCGGGCGTGCGTACGTGTGTGCGTGCGTACCTGACCACGTGCGGATGTTTTCCCAGAGCGGCGTGCGCGTACACCTCTGTGAGGGCGGCGCGCTCGGCGGCGGAGCCCGCTACGGGCCGCAGGGAGCGCTTGAGGGCGTAGACGCAGCCGTCCAGTTTGTTGACGCACCGGGTGACGCGCCCGAACTGCCCGCGCCCGATGACGCCCAGCTCTATGAACTCCACGTTGTAACGGGATATATTCGATTCCTGTTTTAAAGAACAATTCCTATACATTTTGACTGCTCCTAGATATAATTATCGATCGATAAAGTAATGAAACAGCAGTTTTGTTTAATAGTCTGGTTAACAAAAATAATCTAATATTACCGTGTCGAGGCTGGTCAATAATACTAGTTAAGTTATGTGATAGTGTATGTGGTATGTGAGTGCGACTCACCCTTAGTCTTTTGGCCGGCTGCTCGGGCGTGCCGTCCCAGGTCGGAGTCTTGGATAACGCACGTTTCTTTTTGTTTAACGCTTGACCTGAACAAAACATACATGACGCTGGTATAGTACACGATATTAAACCATATATTTGTTTGTGGGTCGAGAGGCAAAACCGTGTTATATGAGACTAAATATGAGAAAAAGGAGAGTATTTTTCCTGAATGAAACATCTCAACTGTGCTGTATGTATTTGTTTAGTTATTCTACATAAATAATAAGCAGTAAAATTTCGTTTATTTCCATATATTGTATGTGTGTGTACTACATAATATAATTTTCTAAATACTTTTCAAGAAAAATCTCATTATCGTGTTGTAAAATACCATGATAAAGGATACATGTAAATCATATTAGTAAACAAAAAATTATTCAATATTTGGACGTCTTTAATGAAGAGAGTATAAAGAATTTTAAAACTACTGTGATATGGTTGTTGTTTATTTTAGCAAATATGTATTTTCAGTGAAAACAACTCACCATCGGGCGTGAAAGGATTAATGTTGGCAATAGGACGCCTTACGGTCAGCCGGGACTCGTCCAATTCGTCCGGGGGTAGACTGCCGAGCGCGCTGTCGTCGTCACCAGACGGCGGATGGAGGTGGTGGCTCGAGCCTGATGGCATTCCTGGAAAAAGGCACATTTAACATTTTCATATTTCCTTTTTTGAGAGCACTAAAGACTGAGTCTTAGAGCATTGTAACATACTTTGAGTCTGCAGTTAGATGCCACCTACCGCCTGCCTACTTCTGTCATGAATAAATCAATATTGGCAGTGTGGAAGGTTGTCAGTCCTCCAAAGCAAATATTCTTCGGACATTCACATCATAATTCGTGGCTCACTTGGTAAGGCTTGGCTCATTTAGTGACACTGATACCAAAGCCCGAAGACACCACAACGTAAATCTCATCACAAACTGAATAGTGTGCTTGTAGTGCGAATTTCTTGTAATTAAATCTTTGAATTATAGTTTTTTTATTTTTTATTGCTTAGATGGGTGGACGAGCTCACAGCCCACCTGGTGTTAAGTGGTTACTGGAGCCCATAGACATCCACGACGTAAATGCGCCACCCACCTTGAGATATAAGTTCTAAGATCTCAGTATAGTTATAAAGGCTACTCTACCCTTCAGACCGAAACGCATTACTGCTTCACGGCAGAAATAGGCAGGGGGTGGTACCTACCCGCGCGGACTCACAAGAGGTCCTACCACCAGTATCCTTTGCGTATGTATCACGTAACACTACTTTGTAGAGGTAGAGAGAGCGAGTATTAATATATCTAAGTTCTCAGCGTGAACTTCTTTTATTGCTCCATATGGTAAGGTTGAGGAGTACATAGCTTACTATTTGTACAGTGGTTACCGTGGGAATTATACGATTGTATAATGGTCTTTGCACCCTTGTTGACGCACAAATGATTCGCGGCTAAAATAGGCAGAAGAGCGGGACCTGCACGTGTCGGTTCCAATTCAATAAATATTTCAAATCGATGAAATCGGGTCGCGCTTCGGTTTCGCTATAGCTATGGTGTTGTATACAACTACTCCTGCGCCATCTTTCGTGCATTGACAGAAACTGTAGCAAAACCGGACACTGGGGTTCTTCAGAGTGTCAACAACAATATTTAATTAAATTAATTACTAGACTATGACCGGCAGTCGTCGTTTGTTGGCTGTTAGATACGAGATCCACATACCTGTTTGCACGTTGATCTTGGGCGGGAACAGTCTCGTCCTGGGCGGATGATGAGTCGGTGTCGAACACTTCTCTAAGAGCGTCTTTGGAGTGTGAGGACTGTCGAACAACCTGGAACAATGATATATGCCAATATATGCTCAACGCCTGCGACTTTCATTACTACTAATAGCCGAGCGGTAATTGTACAAATATTTATATTATTTAGTTGGGACAGGATATATCTTGCGTGGCAATCGTTTTAGATATACGTCCTGGTAACCAGCAGGAACAAGGTCTACGTTAGATCACGTCACCTTGGCTCTCTAGAGTCCGGCAGAGCGGCACATGGCCTCTGTATCGAAGTCTTTATTAAATAAACCCATAATTAACTATCCATTCTTACTATAAATTTATTATACAAAATATTACGGTTGGTGGGACCTTTCATAACGAATAATACTGCTTCGTGGTAGAAATGGGAGAACGATGGTGCACACGGGTTCACGGTGACAATGGTGACATGGAGAACTAAATGCGTGACTATTCACAAAACCTACGACCTTATAGCTCTTATTTTTTTAAACATAAAAACCGTTTCGGATCAGCTGACATCATCTTCGCATCGAGAAAAACACAGGTAGAAAAATTAACAACGCGCATTTAACTTTCAATCGTACTCTTCTCATTTAAAGTATACTTTGCCTTAAAATCTACAAAACATTTCAATTTTAAGCTACCTCTTAAATTCAGACAATATTAAGCTTTAAGATTTTTAGATAAGATCTTATTTTCATTATTGCTTTCATACGTGTGGGAGTGTTTTTTTACAAGGCAGATGTCAGCTGTTCCATCCACATGTTCTTTGTATTGTAAATAACTGTAATTATCAACGTTTATTTTTAAAAAGATTCGCGCAAAATTTTTTTTTTTTTACAAAAGTTCCAAGTTATTTCGATGTATTAGCCAATTTAAAAAGGAGATATTATCTTTATTACCTTCTATGAATTGCACAGTTCACTTTTAAGTGGTTACAGCGTGAAAATCACGAAAGGAATTGTAATGCTAACTTTGAGACACGAGAATGAAGCCTCATTGAATTTTTTGTCTATAAAAGCGTGTCTCAAGCCTCAAACTGGAACGAAAGATAATTTCGGGGCAGAAACAGGCGGTTTAGAGGTTCAAAGCGTATACAATATGACCTATCATTACTGTTTTACCACTAATGATATATCTACTAAGTTTCACCTTCATCTTGGATGTCACCAGTCGACAAGTGTTACTTAGGTTTAGAACACTTATTTAAGTCCTTTTTTGGGTTGTGCCAAGTTAGCTCTTTCTAAATCCGAATTCATTTGATCTCAATTATTTTGATTAAGGCAAGGAACATAATTGATATACAAGAGATTGTCCCTACTCTCACTCTTCGATAATATCTATAGGATTTTCTGCTAACATAAATGACAGCGGCATTGGCATCAGTGCCTATGAGCTTCAATAACTACTCAACAACAGGTGTTTGTGATCACAAAATCAAATGACCAAGTATTGAAGAAATCTCCTAAAGCAATAAAAAATGTATAACAACAAACCAAACTAAAAAATTATTTGTCCCTATTGTTCCTGAGCAGTATATTAAGCAAAAGTAATCAAATATTGCCATTGATCCTTAATAGTGTACACATTTTCCAGATAATCATATTTCTTGAAGTTGGGGAAAATAACATTCAAAGATTATGTTACATGGATATAATAATATAATAAAGTACAAGCTTAGAAAAGAGCGTGAAAAACAAAAAAAACCTTTAGTACAAATCAGGCAATAAAGGTTTCACTATCTACACTTGAAGATTGTCAGGACTTTACGTTACCTCTACAGCAAGTGGCTAAATGGAGAAAGAAATAAAAATGGTTTTTTTAATTTTTTTATTGTTGAGATGTGTGGACGAGCTCACAGCCCACCTGGTGTTAAGTGGTTACTGGAGCCCATAGACATCTATAACGTAAATGCGCCACACACCTTGAGATATAGTTCTAAGGTCTCAGTATAGTCACAACGGCTGCCCCATCCTTTAAACCGAAACGCATTACTGCTTCACGGCAGAAATAGGCGGGGCGGTGGTACCTACCCGTGCGGACTCACAAGAGGTCCTACCACCAGTAATTACGCAAATTATAATTTTGCAGGTTTGATTTTTATTGCACGATGTTATTCCTTCACCGTGGAAGTCAATCGTGAACATTTGTTGAGTACGTATTTCATTAGAAAAATTGTTTATAATTTCAACATATTATGATCTATTTTGGTGCCACCCTTACATGGCCTTAGTTGTTTTGATGACTTAGATAAAATCACAACTAATGCTGTTTTGAAAACTACTGAAATTTTAGCTTCCAAAACAGAAGAATATAAAAATTGGGTAGTCGTTGAGAAAACCTATCATTCACTGTCCTCATGTCTATTTTATATTTAAGTATTACTAAATTTATTGAAGTTAAATGATAAAGTCATTACATTCATTAATCAAATTATATTTATTTAATCATTGCTCGTAGTTATTGGATTCAACTGCAGTACTACAAAATACAAGTTCAATTCTTGGTTAAAAATTACAATAAAAAAAAGCCCATAAAATTTTGTGATTCAACATCGAAATGTGATTGACATTATCATTTTGTCTATGCTCGTGAATATAATATGACTAGTCCCAAAAATGAAGTTGGAACCAACTATTGATATTAACACTTAATCGACCACCAGCCTTTTAAGCAGGCTTTGTCAACGTTTTATTCACTAATAGCCTATAAATTGGCTTTTCATAAATTTTAGCTACCATCAGTTTTTATCCTCTCTATATTCTTTTGAACATATTGGACCTTAATTATTTTCTAAAGTATGATTCTTGTCCTTTTGGTATATTCATTATTTATGAACTTCCAAAATACAGCATAGTGGCAACAGGCAGACAAACCCTAAAGCCTAGATTACACTTGGCAGTTGATTTTAGTGTACTTTAAGAGAGATATCAAAAATTGTAATACATTATTCTAATGTTATTTTTAGTTCCAATACCTATACTCTGCTGTTTTATTTCTTATCAGTTGCCAGACACTTCTACTGTGTTTAAGATAAATAAACTATTAATTTTAAATTAAATCTATTGTTATTAATTTATCATAATCATATCATATTTTTACATACTATTTGTCCCTTATTTCAAAGAATATGTATAGATATGAATTTGTCTCAAAATAATTTGGTCACTCTACACACAACTGATATTTAGTATAGCATGTCAGAACATGTTTCATCAGGTTAGGAAATAACATGAATTATATACATATGCATATGCATACCATGTTCTAAAAATGATCAGGTTTATAGAATGGCTAATATAGATTCACTTTGATGATAAAGTAAATATTGATTTCATTGAGATCCTGCATTCACTGCACCAGATGTAAGGGAGCTGTTCTCAAAAAGTGGCAAATATTGTGGCAGGTACTGTGACATTTCTTCTCCTCTTTTACGAAAATAATAATTATAACCTATACTAATATATAAATCTACAGGAGTTTTTATGGATGTTCCGTTATAGCTACTGAACCATGCCTCCGATTGACTTGAAACTTGGTATCCATGTAGAAGATACATGTACTTAATGGATAGGCCACGGGCGAGTACACTTAGTCAATTATAAAAATTTCATTTTACTAAATTAAACTCTGTTCGATCAAGGTCTATTCGATCTAATTTTATGTAATTTTAGGAACTTCAAAATTTATCTATTATATCACCTGTTATGTCACCCAAAGATGGCAGATTGAACCACAGATTAATGCAATGTTTACTGTTATTTAGACCAAAATTAAACTGTTTATCTTTCTTTAACTATAGTACATTTAATATAATAGTTACTTACAAGGTTAATTATCAGTGGATACTTGGGTCAAGGGGTATATTAGTAATTTACAAAACACAAACATGAAAAATAATATTTGTTTGGTGTATAGCTTAAAACATTTTTTTTTTTAACTCTGAATCTAAATTTAATGAGAATTCGATAGAACATGTTGCCTTTCATTTATTACTTAGTTTAACATAATATTGACAAATTTTCAAGTATGGGAAACTAAAAAACAATGATAAAAGTTCTCAAAATACTTTGAAGTTATTTGAATTTTTTGTTTTTAATAACAAAACACGACACAAATAATTATTCACAACATTGCTGGGCGTCTTTCTGTCATATTTATTATTAAAAAAACTAAACGTCATTTGAGACAGTTTTTGTGCTCGCTAAATAACTCAATTAGGTTCTAGAATGTTTCTATGGCTTTGAATTGAAATATCGTGGGGTTTTTTATGTGTTTGTCAAACACAATTGCATTTCTAACTTACCTCAAGGCTCTGACTCTCTTATAAGGTGGGCTGTGAGATACAGGCGCCTGGGATTCATCTCTGATGCCGTCATCATCGTCCAGATTACTAAAATCTAGCTTCCTAGGCACAATGGACGCTGGTATCGGGCTCAAATTATCAGAAAATATGTTAAAAGGATCCGACATGTCACAAGATGTCTCGACAGACAATTCAGACGAATTGTGCTTGTTGTTTAGTCCTGTTTTCATTCTGTACCACTCAGTCATGTCCGTTTCCACATATAAAAAACAATATTAAAGATGAAACACTAAACAAATCACTGTTTTCTTAATAATACTTTCAAAACGATTTCACTTATCCCAATCAACGTTATGGCGGATGACGCATAGCACCTGTTCGAGCGTTCGACCAATAACAGCGTAGCAGATGACCGGTGAGAGAAACATTCAAATTTTATTGGCTGTGTTGTTTTTTTTTTAAATAACGATGTTCGATATCCCCTGTTCATTGGTTAGTTGATAAATGCGTTCAGGAAACGAATGCGATCAGGTTGTAATTTCGAATGATTACTTTCTTTTTCCAAAAATAAATCGTTAAATTGTCCCTTGGCAATAATGTGACACTGTTTAAAACTTGCATAAGTTCCATCATGATTTAGGTAAGTGTAGTGTTTGCTCAACAACCCGCACTCAGACCTTATAATTCATTCAAGCCTGTCAGGATAGCCGTCGGAGCACCTTGGTATGTGAGGAATGAATGGATCTCAAAATAGCATCGGAAAGCTTTTACGAAAAAGCGGCGCGACACTGTCTGTCGGTATTCCGATCTGGTGGTTTGGTCTTGTCAGCGAAGAATTGCTCCAGGGCAAATCTTAACAAACTGAGCCCCGTATGTCCACACATTTGGTAAAGCTGGTTTAACCCCTTGAGGTTACTAGCAGTAGATAGGTAAAAATCATGGAAACCTGGCCTTTTGATGAAACTTTAGGCCTCTTAATCAATTTTCGACGACGATAGAGCCACATCATCAAACTTCTCCTGGTGTGGTCTGATATCCACATTACACTGAGTGCGATCAGGCGGTAATTCCGGCTTCTCGACGTGGTGTACTTCTGCCAATGTTGCCGGCTTAAGCATTCTCTCAGGGACTCAGCATGTGGATCGCCAGATTTTTGGATGAACGGAGAATTAATGACGTCATTGACGACGGTGTTCTAATGCCGTTACTCTGGTATTTTACAAGCCTCCACGATTGGAAGCCTTGGGCTCAATGTTTCGAGCGTTACTAAGTATCGGAGTCATTCGGAAGGTAAAGACAAGTTGACTTCAAAAACGTTGGAAGTCCTCAACAGAACGAGCCGGTGCTTCAGGCCTGGACAAAGACTTATACCGTCCAGAACATCTAAACAAAAGTTCGGCCGCGCTTGGAGCACTGCCTCTTCACTGGACCGGGTTCCCAGCTACTTCCATTTTATTCTATACAGAAGAGGGTCGTTGGGATTGTTGATAGTCCCGTTCTCGAAGGGACTTGGGTTCTTTCTGTGTTTTGTACCATTTCCATGGGGAGTGCTTTCAGAAGTTGTTGTGGACGGTCCCATCAAATCGTTTTTTCCATCGCACCGCCCACCACAGGAGCAGACTTCATCCATACTACCCGAAACCACTGCGTTAATCCACAGTGTATAATCCCAGATAATTTTTTTGCTATGTACCATTCGGATCTGGAATGAGTTCCCCTGCATGGTGTTTCCGGAGCATAGCAGTCATAGACATATCCTTCTTCCTGGCATTGCTGACGTCTATTATGGACAGTGTCTACATGCCTGCATACATACATGCATTCACCATGGGCTGTGATATGTGAGATGGGAAAGATCCAAGGCTACTAATTGGTTTGGTTTAAGAGGGAGATAATTACTCTCATAGATAATACACATAAATCAATTATACCTAGTCAGGTCATAAGTATTGTCACACAGTAAAAACTTTTCTTTTAGAATGCTGGCCACAAAAAAGTTTATTGAATTCGAATTTCTAATTGTTCATGAAAATAAAAATGTATACTTTTAGAATTTTCACTAATTTTTAAATATGGAGTGGACGCTTAAAGAAGACCGTGTTGCAGTTATTGCGTTGCATAGTTGCAGTTACGCGCCAATTAAAATTTTTAACATACTGAAAATTTTGAATATAACCAAAAGATTCGTTTATCGTACCATCAAACGATACAATGAAGACTCTAGTGTAGATGACAGGTCAAGAAGTGGTCGCCCTCGGTCTGTTAGGACTCCAGCAGTGATAAAAGCTGTGAAGGCGCGAATTCAAAGAAATCCCAAACGTAAGCAGAAACNTCCACTAACGGTGCTTTTAGGTACTTCAAGCACCGGTCACCGTTCTCGTCGAACCCGTCGCTTGCGACGAAGGGCTCGACGAGTAAATTAACTCTCAGACACAGCCCACTGAGTTTCTCGCCGGATCTTCTCAGTGGGTCGCGTTTCCGATCCGGTGGTAGATTCTGCGAAGCACGGCTCTTGCTAGGGTTCATGTTAGCAACGTCACCAGGTTTGAGCCCCGTGAGCTCACCTACTAAAGTTAGGGTTACGCTGACATAGCCCCTAGCTGCGGTAGGAAAAAAAAAAAAAAAAAAGTTGACTTCAAAAACGTTGGAAGTCCTCAACAGAGCGAGCCGGTGCTTCAGGCCTGGACAAAGACTTATACCGTCCGGAGCATCTAAACAAAAGTTCGGCCGCGCTTGGAGCACTGCCTCTTCACTGGACCGGGTTCCCAGCTACTTCCATTTTATTCTATACAGAAGAGGGTCGTTGGGATTGTTGATAGTCCCGTTCTCGAAGGGACTTGGGTTCTTTCTGTGTTTTGTACCATTTCCATAGGGAGTGCTTTGAGAAGTTGTTGTGGACGGTCCCATCATATCGTTTTTTCCATCGCACCGCCCACCACAGAAGCAGACTTCATCCATACTACCTGAAACCACTGCGTTAATCCACAGTGTATAATCCCAGATAAATTTTTTGCTATGTACCATGCGGATCTGGAATGAGTTCCCCTGCATGGTGTTTCCGGAGCATAGCGGTCATAGACATATCCTTCTTCCTGGCATTGCTGACGTCTATTATGGACAGTGTCTACATGTCTGCATACATACATGCATTCTACATGGGCTGTGATATGTGAGATGGGAAAGATCCAATGCTACTAATTGGTTTGGTTTAAGAGGGAGGTAATTACTCTCATAGATAATACACATAAATCAATTATAGATAAGCAACTCAAGCACTCAAAAAAAATATTTACGGGCGTCGGCCACTAGATGGCTTCGCTTCGGTTAGTTTTTCATTGCTCCTGTTGATGGTGGTAATAAATTACCCATCCTATATTTTATTTTAATGAAGGATTTTCAGAAACCACAAATTGATAAAATTTGACAGTGATATGAGTTACAGAATTATTATTTCAATAATATCTTAAAAAGCACCCCACGCTTTTTTTACAATAAAAATATATATTTTTTACACTATTTTCAATTTAACTTTATTAAAATTTATTTTCTATTTTTTAGTTGAATTTTATATAAAGCGTGTTTTTTAGTTTTTTAAAACTATTATTTATTATTTAATAGATGTCACTACTATTCGTTTGCAAACTAAATTCTACACCAAAAATAAAGAATACAAGAAGTACTTATAGTTACTACTAGATGTCGCTAATTTAAAACTGTAACAATGCTTAGTTTATTTAGCAACAGATGTCACTACTATTTTCCTCTGGCTTATGCCTAGTTTGAAAAATATATTTGATCACAATCATATAGTTTTTAAAGAATACACACTGAAAAACGCACTGAAGTTGTCGTGGCCTAAAGGATAAACCCGGTGCAATCGTACGAAGCGATATATCGGTGTTCGAATCCTGCTCACGGATACTAGTTTTCTAATGAAAAACGTACCTACTTAAGAATTATTATTGTTCACGATTGACTTCCACAATGAAGAAATAATATCGTGTAATAAAAATCAAACCCGCACAATTATAATTTGCGTAATTACCGGTGGTAGGACCTCTTGTGAGTCCGCGCGGGTAGGTACCACCACTCTGTCTAATTCTGCCGTGAAGCAGTAATGCGTTTCGGTTTGAGGGGGGGCAGCCGTTGTACTGTTAATACTGAGAGCTTAGAACTTATGTCTCGAGGTAGGTGGTGGCATTTACGTCGTAGATGTCTATGGGCTCCAGTAACCACTTAACACCAGATGGGCCTTAAGCTCGCCCAACCACCTAAGCAATAATAATAAAAAATAATAAAAAATCAGGTCAGCTTAAGGTAAAAGTAGCAAAATAATTGTATTATCACTTTATGTTGACATGTCTGAAAGTTTTCAAGTTAAGATGATCACGGCTCTTAGGTATGTGTTGAACAAATTGCACTACAGACCGTTCACCGTAAGGTGTCCCCTGCCGTGATGTTGGCACTATTTTTTTTTCATATTTTTATTAGGTTATATGTTTAAGCTATTGCATAGCTTTTATCGCGGGCTTTGAGCNAAAATAATTGTATTATCACTTTATGTTGACATGTCTGAAAGTTTTCAAGTTAAGATGATCACGGCTCTTAGGTATGTGTTGAACAAATTGCACTACAGACCGTTCACCGTAAGGTGTCCCCTGCCGTGATGTTGGCACTATTTTTTTTTCATATTTTTATTAGGTTATATGTTTAAGCTATTGCATAGCTTTTATCGCGGGCTTTGAGCGCGGCGACCGAATCAAGAAATTCCATAACGAAAATAAAACCTAAAACCCCCACTCCGCCTACCACGTTGCGCTTGTGTAGTGTTTGTGAATAAGCGCGCGGCGTGACGTCGCACTGCATGTGCATCATGAAAAGTCTGCCCATCTCTCTCTTACTGTCTCTCACTTAGTGATCTTTTTAACAGTCAACAGGTTATGTGTAGGTATTATCTACGCTCACAAGAGAACTAGCCCACTGAGGCTCTCGCCGGATCTTTGCGGTGGGTCGCGTTTCCGATCCGGTGGTAGATTCTGCCAAGCACTGCTCATGCTAGGGCCAGTGTTAGCAACACTCCCGGTTTGAGCCCCGTGAGCTCACCTACATGTCAAGGAGAAGCTGAAATAGCCTCTCAAGGCTATCAGCATAGGTAGGAAAAAAAAAAAGAAAAGAGAATGAGTACAAAGGTTGTTTATTTATGCAAACTCTTTTCTCAAAGTTAAATGGTGTATTGGCTTTATTCTCTCTCTCTTTCTCTTTCTCTATCTCTCTGTCTCTCTTTCATACTAATGCTTCACTAGACATTTTGTCTTTTGTGAGGCCGCATGAATTTTTTATAGCTATCCGATTAATAAAACTGTTATAA